GTTTATCTTCCTTCATTTGGTACGTATGGAATTCAATTTCCATTTCATCAAAATGATCAACAATGTCTCTATAAGTTTTAGAGTCCTTGGAAAATATTCTTGCTGTAGATCCCTGATTTACTTTAACGATAACGTTATCTAGACTAGTGATCCCCGAAATAACATCAAATAGATCGTTAAGGTTGACAAAACTTAGAACAATTTGTGGTGGTTTTAAATTATTGTTGGGATTATTCTTGCCATTAGAATTATTTTGTTCAAATTCATTATCTGAGACAATTGTTTCCATATCATCATTTAAATCTGTTTGGGCATCTGCCAAGGAAAGATTACTTCTTTCCTCAACAGGTCTGTCACTGTCTAGGTCCACCTCCATGTCTAGTAAGGCAAACCTATTACTAGAGCTTGCCTTGCTGGTTGATGCTGAGGGTGATCCAGATAACTTTTCTTTGTGCACCTTCTTAGGGTAAGGAGTATATGAAAGTTGCTTCTTCCTCTTGTACGACAGATGGCTTTGGCTTAGCTTCAACTTGGTAGCAGCATCAGAAAACGGAGTTGAAGAAATTTTTGAATTATCACCAAGAGTTGGAGAGACAATTGCAGCCCCACCTCTGGGTAATGGGGATGAATTACCAGATGAGCGTTGGGAGTAATAAACATTAGTTTTATCCATACTCGCGGAAGAGCAAACACTGCTGATTTCCGCATCTGATGCTGTAGCCAGCATTGAGGTTATAGTACTAGTGCTCGCAGATTTTGAGCACAGTGGGCGTTGTAAACTGATGATCTCTTCCCTTATCTCCGAAGGTGTTTTACCAGCTATTTGGAACATTTTTTTATGAATAAATAAATAAATAAAATAAAACTATCAAAATTGTAGCACACTTATGGGGGCTCGTAGACAAAACGTTGTATTTCATTTTCAGAAATCTGCCAAAATACACTTTTAGGTACCAGGCGAACATAATCCATTAGTAGGTGGAAATGGACAAAATTTTTGGAAAAGTTGCTCACTGACAGAAGCTCTATGCTATGATATCCGAGTTTCAAACCCAGCATTGCCAGTGATGCTCAATCCACAAATCTAGTATTTTGTGTGGATCGTACATAGTCATGTTTCGAACCACGATCTTTAGTAGCATCTGCGTATGAAAAATGTTGCATACCTTAGGGGGTTGCTTTTTATTTTTGAATTTTGCAGCCGCTTTCTAGGTATTTCTGTTCGCCTGGTATTTCGTTTTCAGCAATTGCCAATTTGGCTGTCCAGTCGGACAATGCTCCTCGGGACAATAAATTCGATTTTCAGCTGCTATGCGTTTAGCCACTCATAAACCCCCAAACCAACAAAAAAACACATTTTATTTAATTTCATTTTTATTATAATACAAGTAATTCTAAACCAATTCGATATTTAAAAATAAAAAAATCACTTTGCTCGTCCAAGGCGAATAATTTCTGCTGCTCCTCGATGAATCCGCGAACGAGCTGCTTTCGTTGATCGAAACCTGGAAGACTAAAAAAAATGATTTTTGGTAAATTTTCGCAAGCAAATTGCTACGAACTGAATTGCAAACACCAGGCCAACATAACCGCTTAGCAGGTGCAAATCGATCAGCTGATCAGCTTAACTTGGCTTGTATAGTGTTGAGCGCGTGACAAGTTATTCTTGTAACGCCAACAACAACCACATGAGAATTTATTAATTACTTGTGCGCGGAGTGCCACTTTCGTGACACGCACAAAGAATCAGCGTGGTTTCGCATCTCTGGTCTGATACTTACTTTAAAGAAACGGTACCTTCCAGCGGGATGGCTTTCTGATTGGTGGGGACAGGGAGGGGAAGCGTAACAAGGACAGCTATCTTATGATAAAAACAGTTATTTGAATAAGATCAGATTTACCAGCTGCAACCTGCTACGAGTTATGTTGGCCTGGTGTATAAAATCGATTTCAAAGCAAAATCGGCTGCTTTTTTTAGCGGTTTAGGCAAGAAACAACTTACAGCCGGAAACCAGGGTGGCCCAACTAGCTATGCCATCGAATGCAATTTAATTGTTATTTAACTGATCCTTTAGATAGTTGATAAAAACTGATTGGAGAAAGATTAGTTGATAATTTTGGTAGAAAACAATGTATTTTGAGAGGTTTTTCGGATGTAAAAAGTGACTTACAGCGGAACCAAATACTGTTTTGAGCACCTTATGACCACAGTTAACCACCCCAATCACTTTTTGGACGATTTAAAAAAAAAAATTGATTTTTGGCCAAATTTCGCAATTTCGGTAAGGGGTAACATCGTCATTTTTTGCGAAAAATGGCAAAATTTCAACATTTTTAGGTGTTTATACAATCGGAATCAGAATTTTACCACGAGTTCAACGAAGTATGCCACTCCACATTTGGAAGAATATTTACGCAAGCAAGTTGGCTGCAAGTTGTTTCTTGCCCAAATAACAGACAAATTACCATTAAAAATCATAAGTCATAAGGTGCTTAAAACAGTGTTTGGTTTACACAAAAATGTAAAAAAAAAAACGTCCCAAAATTCGCCTCATACTTTAAAATGCATTTTAATTGTGGGAATTTTTTATGAAAATTGTGGATATTGTTTCAATGGGAACAAATGAGAAATCGAAAGAGTAGCCACCTTCTATATACATATACTTAAATAGGGTCTGAGCAGGGGCGGATTAAGACAATTTGCCGCCCTCGGCAGTTTTGATTTTGCCGCCCTAGACTGCAGCCTAATTTTCAAAAGTAGTATTTTTAAACTGTTTTATTTAGGTCACACTAGGGTCAAAATTAGAAATTGTAATTTAAGTACCTTCCTGTTGTCAGATTGATCTGAAATTTGGTAAACATCTTCAGTTCCGATGACAATACAATATAGTAATGTCAATAACATTGTAAATCCAAGATGGCGGCCGCAAAGTGGCGGATAACGTAGGTTCTGTCAATCCCATCAATATGGGTATCAAATGAAAGGTCTCAACAAGTAGAATACAATGTACTATATAAAATTAAAATTCAAGATGGCGGCCTCTGCAAAATGGCGGATAACTTAGGTTTTGTCAATCCCATCAACATGGGTATCATTGTCACTGTCAAACACATCAGATTAATTCAGATCAGTCTGACAACAAAAGGGGTAAGCTACATATATCTTATATATAAAAATGAATCGGAGAATGTGTTGGTAAGCGCATAACTCAACAGCGCCTGGACCGATTTTGATGAAATTTTTGTGTGTGATTCCAGGGGGTTTGAGGATGGTTTAGATTCACAATATGTTAAAATAATATTTTTTGTTTTATAAAGCAAAACGAGCTAAAGAAAGTGAAGTTGATAGAAACAAAACTGGAGGTTTACCAGCAGAACTGGAAATATTTGTGGGGGCAAAAGTCATGCTACGGTCCAATTTTGACGTTTCGAAGGGATTAGTAAATGGAGCTATAGGCTACATCAACAAAATCGTTTGGCTTCAATTTTGTCGAACTCAGATGTATGCAACAGATGTTCCTTCCGTCCGAACTGATTTCGAAAAAGACGGAGTACATCTTATACACGCGAAAGCCATAAATTTTCCAGCTAAGTACAATTACGGGACGACTGAGAGAAGAATGTTGCCTTTAATACTATCATGGGCTTCTACAATACATAAAATGCAGGGCAGCACTGTGGATCACGCAATCGTATACTTAGGTGCGAAACTGTTTGAAGAAGGTCAAGCTTACGTGGCTCTTAGTAGAGTAAGATCTTTGCAGGGACTACGTATAGAGAAGTTGGACTGCAACAAACTAACGGGCAAGAAACCATGCAATAATGAAGCACTAAATGAAATAAACAGAATGCGAATTAAAAACTAATAAAAGCTTAATCAAATTTGTTAAAAAAAACTTTTTAATTTAAAAGGTTTTATGGGGGGACGGTGGCCCAGCAGGTAGAGCGCTGGCCTCCGGTCCGGAAGGCCCGGGTTCAAGTCGAGCCCCAGGCTCCCCGAGAAAAAGAAACGGTCTCTTTTTCCAAATCTCCACCACTTCTATGCTCTATCACTCACTAAAACATTAGTAACAAATTTCGGCTCCCCGGACCCGCACACCCCCTCGTCCACGTTACTATGGACCCAACAATAAAACTTTCGTCACTCCTAGATGGCGCCAGGTGGCAACCCCACCGCTAGGATAAGTCGCTACTGGCTTATCACCGGTACGATCGAAAATCTTTGATAATGAATCCTCTGCAAGAAATTGTAGAGGCTCTAAGCTCCCGGGTGGAGTAAAAGAATGTAAATGTTAAACATACATTGCAATGTTTAAGATAAATGTACTAATTATTGGACCGTCGACCGTTTAAATGACTATTACTCGTGGGAACAAAATGGTAAAAAAAAATATAAATAAAAATGCGAAATAAAAACTAAAAACTAGAAAATAAAAAAAAGGGTAAAAAAAAAATTTTAAGTTAAACCGTTTTATGTAAAACATGTACTAAATGTACTAAAAGCCTAAAAATAATATAAAATAGATACAGACGTGGGAAATTTAAACATATGCTTAGACTAGACTAAAATAAAACCGTGGGGCAAGTCAATTGTGTACAATCGTTGATTAAAATGTTTGTTTGCCCCACGGTTTTATTTAAGTCTAGTCTAAGCATATGTTTATAATTCCCACGTCTGTATCTATTTTATATTATTTTTAGGCTTTTAGTACATTTAGTACATGTTTTACATAAAACGGTTTAACTTAAAATTTTTTTTTACCTTTTTTTATATGTAGTGTTAACAGTCGAAATTTGCCGCCCCTAAAAATTTGCCGCCCTAGGCAGCTGCCTATGTTGCCTATATGGTAAATCCGCCACTGGGTCTGAGGTATTTCCTATACTGCGTTGCAAACTCTGGACTTAAATTATAATACCCTCTACTAGGGTATAATTAGCCCATTTATCTTTACCCATTGCTTTGAAGGTTTGTTGTAGTCAAAAATCGAGCCTCAGAAACCCAGGTGATAGCTGTAAAAATTCCCAAATTTACCGCCCCGAAATCAAGTCGACAGGAGAAAGTCGAAAACAACGTTCCCACAGTTAACCTTTGCTGTCGGTTGCCTGGTTATTGAAACACACACACACACGAGTCGCCAACACATTGTCGACTGCTTTATCGATAAGTTTGTTTTGTTGCTGGACGGCAGGACATCGTTGGCTCAGTTGGCAGGAGAACGCCGGAGAGAAGGGAGCCTTTTCGCAGAAGAATCCTAGGGAAGAGCCGGCAGCAGAATGGTGAGTAATAAGTTGTTAAATCAGCGACAACAAAGCAGTGCATACCATCTATCCGCACTGCTTGGCCGCCAGCTTCCGCTTACTTCTTCCTTCCTCCATCCTCCCTCCCTCTCTTTCGATTTCCGGTTCCGTGCCGCTTGCTCCTTTCGGTCTCAGTTTTTCAGTTTCAGATGCACATTCAATTTTTCATGCCAAGCCAGGCTGTTGCTGTTGCTGCATATACAAACTGCATTTTGTGAGTGGCTACAGGACAGCCTCAGGTTCGACGAACTGCTCGTAAAAAGCCAACTCATTTCGAGGAACATTTTATTACTGGTTTCATTCACGTTGGAGAAGCACGCTTCGATCCTGGAAGCCCTTCAGTTAGAATATCACCATGGCGATGTGCTGCTTCTGGCTTACGCTGGCCCCACTGTACAGTGGCTGCACCCAAGCACGAGTCCTTTGTGGCCCCTCGACCCCCTTTCTTTCCGTGGTTGTCTATTTTCGATCATTTGTTTATGTATAGACCTGCCCCTACCTACATATATCCGCCTTTTTTTTCGTCCGATACATATTTATTTGTATATATTTTGCGCCTTTGGACATGGCGAAAGCGCGGTCGCCGGGCGCAGGCGGCTTCGAAAATTTTTGAATAATTTGCAGTCATAAAATATGCAATAAGCCAGCAGCCAACAGCCAACAGCTGTTGCGAAATTGTTTTGAAAGCCGCGCCATCACATTATTTAAAGCGACGATGGCTGTGCCCGCCGCCTTCTCCTTTCTCCCACTTTCTGAGCCTTTCTCCCACGTGGAGGAATCGAGTTAAACGGTGTTAAAGGATTTAAAGTGCGAAAAATAGTGGCGGCCTGCAGACAATTGCGCAACCCATGGATCATTGTAGGAATCTTTGGGGCCTCGAATTTTGTATGATTTCTGTGCATATTTTGATACTAATGCCGATTATTTCCTCTTACAGCCGCCGAAGGGGAAAAAGGGCAAGAAGGGCAAGAAACTGCCAGGTAAGTGAGCCTTAGGCTACAAGGACTTATATAGTTTTTAGGGTGTACAACTATTTATCTAGTATTTCCGTACGGACTCACTAATTACATTGCATTTTAGCACACAATTTAAGCCAAAATACTTTTTAAGTGCCATAAACAGTTGATGGCCTAAACAGTTCTGTCTGAAAGCTCAATTACTGAATAAGCTGCTCCAAAATGCGTTCTGTGTCCCCTTTAAGGACGTCGGCTGTTAAAGCCTTCCACCAGGAGACAAACGCAACGCGGAGAGCGACGGGAGGAGCAGGACGGCCCGGCAATTCATTTTGGGAACATTAATGGCAGCAGGGTGCCACTGGGTTTCAGGACAGCTGGGCAGCTGGGCAGCTGGAATGGCGGACATTGGTCATTCAGGGCAATTTAAAAAGGCCAAGCAAAACAATTAGTAAATAACGATAATCTGCGTGGGGAAGACGGTGGCAGCGGGGCAGCGGGGGGCGGTGGGCGGTGGGCGGGGTGTAGAAGGGACGGAGGAGCACTGCGGACAAGAAATTCCCGATGCAATTGCTCCGGCGAAGCCTTGCAGCCCAAAATTAAGAGGGAAAAAATGGGGGGCCAAACTGTCCACTTAATTTCCACGAGTGAGCACACTGCACTTTTCCCGACCTCCTGCCTCCTCCCTCCTCCCTCCTCCCTCCTCCCTCCGCCCACCGCTCCAGCACATCTAAAGCACATTATTGTTTCTATGCATGCACGGTCAGAAATCGGGCTCGCCTTCGGACCCAATTCGGGTCTTCAGCTCCTCATCTTTTCGAAACAGTTGAAGCCGTGCAGGGAATTAAAGGCGGCCAAAACACTTTTTTTTGCCTGCAATTATTTGTTATTTGTACCTACCTATTCAGGGTTTTCCGCCACATACATCTGCAGGTCTTTTTGCTTGGTGTGATTCTAGTTGGAGCCCTAGTAGTCCTGCTCCTAGTTCGAGTCCTGGCACTAGCCGGCCAACGATGCCAATTACAGAAAACAATTACAACACGGTCTGCTGCTGGGCCACATATGCGGGCAGTGGCTGGGAAAAGGGGTATCGCCAGGGGTTGATGTGGGGTTAAGGGGTGAGGGGGGAGGAAGGGAGGAGGGGAAGGGAGAGTGGAAGAGGGAAAAGGACCTTAGCAGGGGTAACCAGAAGTGCCGCTCTCATTAAATTCCCACAAATATGCGGCCAAAACTGTTCAAGGGGAATGCAACAAGGTCAAGAATCCGCCAAATGGTCAGGAAATCGCTTTCGATTTCGCAACATAAGGATTCCTTAGATTAGTTATGAGGACCTTGGTTTTCTACGAATGCATAAAGCAAACTCAGGTAGCAGATGCAGAGATATACTGACCCCTCCGATCGAAGTGCATAACCAAAACATGTAGTTCAGGTAATAACTTGGTCTCCTTCCCGCCCGCAGTGCTCATCGATGGCGTGGACACCTCGGCGATGACCCGCGACCAGCTGGAGGCCTTTGCCCTCCGGCTGAAGGCGGAGATGGACCGGGAGCGGGAGGAGCGCAACTACTTCCAGCTGGAGCGGGACAAGATCCGGACCTTCTGGGAGATCACGCGGCAGCAGCTCGGTAAGTCCTTTCAGTATGAGCCTAGATTAGCCCAGATGGCAGCTGGCATGTGTATGTGGACCCATCCCCGCAGATGAGACCCGCTACGAGCTGCAGCAGAAGGACAAGGAGATCGAGGCCACGCAGGACCTCGCGGACATCGACACCAAGCACGTGATGCAGCAGATGAAGCACCTGCAGTTCGAGAACCACAACAAGCTGGGCGAGGTGCGGGCGGAGGCGATGACCCAGCTGAAGCTGGCCCAGGAGCACCACGTCCTGCAGGAGAACGAGCTGCAGCGGGACAAGCGCCAGCTGCGCAGGATGCTCCGCGAGAGGATGGAGATGAGCGAGATGCAGCTGCGCCAGATGGAGGCCCACTTCAACGAGAAGCTGCTGTGCGTACCCTCAAAAGCAGTGACGCAGTGACCTATTACCACATTACCTTGACCTTTTCCGATCCACAGGGAGCAGCGCATCACCTTCGAGCGCGAGCGCAAGGACAACGAGATGCTGCACGAGGAGAAGATGATCGAGCAGAAGGCCAAGCTGGACCTCTTCTACGGCACCCAGATGTTCGAGGTGGAGGAGCGCAAGAACCAGCAGATCAAGGACCTGCAGGACCACCACGACCTGGCCTTCAACGACATGAAGAACTACTACAACGACATCACGCTGAACAACCTGGCCCTGATCGGCAGCATGAAGGAGCAGCTGGAGCACCTGCGCAAGCAGGCGGAGCGCTCGGACAGGATCGCCGCGGACACTGCGGCCGAGAACCGGCGGCTGAAGGAGCCGCTCGAGCACGCCAACATCCAGCTGAACGAGTTCCGGCGCAAGCTGGAGTTCTACGAGCGGGACAAGCAGCAGCTGAGCCGCCTGAAGGCGCGCAACACGCGCCTGGAGAAGAAGGTCAAGGGGCTCACCTGGGAGGCGGAGACCCTGATCCTGCGCAACGACTCCCTCGTGGCGGAGCGCGAGGGCCTCAAGGAGCGCTTCAACGACGTCATCGTGGAGCTCCAGCAGAAGACCGGCCTGAAGAACGTGCTCCTGGAGCGCAAGATCGCCGCCCTGATGCGCGAGGACGAGAAGCGCAGCATCGTCCTGCACGAGACGATCGCCACCTGCGCCCCCAACTTTGCCGAGAAGCTGACCAGCCTGGACGAGCGCGTGGGCAACATCGTCGACGAGAAGAACAAGATCATCCTGGACCTGCGCTACGAGGTGGCCAAGGCGCGCAAGGCCCACGACGACCTCCTGGAGACCTACGAGTGCAAGCTCAAGCAGTACGGCGTGCCCACCGACGAGCTGGGCTTCAAGCCCCTCAGGGATCGGGACCAGCAGCAGCTGTACGTCTGCGGGCCCGCGGGGATAATCACGGAGAACAAGTAGGGAGCCTCCTGTCCGCCGGCTGCAGGAGCTCCAGTGAAAAAGAGCTAAAGAACTGACCGGCCGGAGGATCCAAAGCCAAATCGTACGAACACATATTACCGAGGATCGAAAACGAAAAGCATTGAAAAGTGAAACTAAAGTAAAAACGCTCCCTTTTGAATTTTTGGCTTGATCAAACGCAGAAGACATCAGGAGTAGAGTATCTCTTCGTATTGCGATCAAAAACGGAAAAATATTACAGCGAAGTGGAAACAATGAAAAAGAACAGAAGACAGAACTTATATTTTATATCTGCGAGACGTTAACTGCATCTTCAAATGAAAAACCTGATCCGAAACGAATCCCCCGTCATGGCTCCCGGTAAACTTAAATTTTAGTGCCGTTCCGATTGAAGTATTCATTCATCCAAAGTATTCATTGCCCAATCTATTTTAATTGGAACAATAAAGCATGATTAAATATTTCAAATTGCCCAGTGATGTTCTTACCAGAATTTCAAAATCCTTGGGAAAACCAGAAAATGTAAAAGTTCCCGCAGTAAATTGCAAGGCGTGAGTGCTGTTCGAATCATTCAGAATTTATTCAACGTTAGCCTAGATTAGTGTATAAGAAGTATGTATACGTTTATGTATATGCTTATAAAAACCTTCTGGAATACGTTAGCAAGGAGTTGAACATTGGGAATGCGCGTACAATCCGAATTTCGACTAACACTACAGACAGACTGAGAAAGAGATAGAGAGTGCGGGCGTGGGCGGAAAAGAGAGAGAGAGAGAGAGAGAGAGAGTGTGTCGTAGTGAGTGGAGCCGTGTACTGCTGATGTGTGTGTGTTCATTTACTCAATGGGTCTGTGGTTCGGGGTTCGGGGCCTTACTTAACTCTTGAACGGGAAATGATAAAAATGCTCGTCTCCATTTCAACTTCCGTGTTCGGAACTCCGCTTTCTGAACGCTTCGTGGTTTTAGGCTAATTTTACTATATTCTGTTTTTGTTATGGTTAGGGATTCTCTTTAGTTTGTCAATTGATTTATTTTTGAAATAGATATCACATGATGTTTTGCTTCTTGTTGCTGTTTTACTGCGGATTCAATTCAATTCGTTTCGAGTCGATTTCAGTTTCAGTTTCAGTTTCAGTTCTAGGTTTCACTTTAGCTTTAGCTTTAGCTTTAAATTGATTTGATTTGATCAACAACAATAATTTTTTCCTTATTAAAATTTCCTCTAACTGAAATGTGTTCCTTGGCATTCGTTTTTATTGTTTAACTTAGTTTTTACGGCTCAACTTTTCGGTACCCTATATGTTTTAACTGTTTGGTTTGTGTTTCTGTGTGGGATATGCACTTTACAAAGTGAAGTTACCACCTTTTAATCTTTAATAATACATAAAATAATAATTAGGAATAATGCCCAATTTGGAATACTTAAGTTTCTTCGCCGAGATTCCCCTGAAAACTTATCCTATGAACTCGGACCATACAATTTTGTTTGCGTATGCTAATAAATAAATTCTTGAGACTTAAACTAAAAATGCTTAAATAATTCTATTGGAATAACCCTAAACAAAATAAAAAGCCCTGGGTCTCTCCCGATTGGTAGGGGATAGCATTCTTCAAGGAGCGTACAAACGGGCCCTGACATAAGTAGCAAATAATTTGAAACAATGTGCAAATCGGCGATTCCCTAAATCTGTAAAGTGTATACGATCCGCGGTAGTCCGTAGATCCGTCCTTTCCTCCCCAGTTTTCTCAGGCAGCGGCGGCTAGTTGAATACTCCTTGTGGGGGTCTGCTGCATTGAGGGATCAGTGGGTGGCTCCCAGTGGTAGATTCAGTTTCAGTTTAGCTTTTTCATAGGTACTTTTCGGTTACACTCCTACTGGCTTCCATATTTCGAGCTCATAAACTATATAGAATAACTTATAGCTTCCTGTTGCGGTTCGCAGCTTTTCTGTGTTTTGTATTTTGTATTTTGTATTTTGTATTCTGTATTTTGTTTTCAGTTTTCAGTATTCAGTATTCAGTAGTTTGCAGTTTTGTTACTTTCGTTTTGTTTAAATCAAAATTTAAAGCGATCACAACGGTTTACTTCACAGACGCGTGTGGAAACATTTGTTTAGAAATGTCCGTGGAAATATTTCCTATTTTCTTTCGAATCGTTTCGATTACTGGTTTGTTAATTTTCGTTTTAGATTTCCCTATGTCGGTTGGCTTTTTCTTATCTTCCAAATTGGCTGCTAGCTTTCTATACAAGTAAATGTAATTAAATCGTAATTTGAGTATAATTCCACTTAACTAATTTAAGTCAAATTGGTAGCGTTTTCTCGTCCTTCGTTATTGTTCTCTATATGGTTTCGGTTCGGTGATTTTTCACAATCTTAATAAATATACTGATCGAGTGTGGGGGCGTGTGTGTTTCTGTCTCTGTTTCTTGCTATTGAGGTGTGTGTATGGCACATTGGGAGTTTTCTTTTCGTTTTTCGATTTCATTTTTGCTGTACGCGTTTCGACTATTTAGCTAATTTAATTCGTTTCTATTCGAGCACAACAAAAATCTATGATCGATTTGAGGCTATAACTGGATTTGCTTAGTGATTGGTGAATATTGCTTTGACTTGGACTATTTTAAATTACGTTAGATTAATATTTAATAGGCCATATGATAAGTTTACAATTAACTTTAACTTTATCTAAATGCCGTAATTTGTGTTTCAGTTTCAGTTCCAGTGTTCGATTTTTAAAAAAGTCTAAACTAAAATGAAAGTTTTACTAACATTTTGTTTTTTAAGGCAATTTGTTTGTTGTTTTTCGGTTTTGTTTTTTTTTTTTTTTTGTTTGCGTTGCTTTTGCTTTTAGATTGTTTTTAATCCAAATTTAATTTAGATTGAGTTCAGTTCAGTTGATTCAGTTTGATTTTAAAAATAAATCCACCAAATCTCGTACAAATACAAATTTGAATATAAAGGTGATTACACAAAACGAGCGTTACAAATCTCTAACTAACCCGAGTGCAATTCTGGATTCCGGGGTGTAACTATTACCATTATTCGACAGTATTTTGTATCATTACACAGGCTTGGCTCTATGACGATACTCACCAAGGACCTTTGTGTTACATAAAAGCTATTTGGAACGGGAGTCTATAAAAGCGAGCGGGATGGCCGATGGCAACGAACGGGCCAATAGCCAACGACCTTTAACAAATGGAACTGCTTTGCGCCAGCCTGCTGCTTACTGCTTGCTGCTTACTGCTTGCTGCTTCCTCAGTAGAACTTCCTGCGCGCGAAGGCGTTGATCAGGCGCGGCGTGTGCTCGTCCAGACTGCACAGCTCCAGCAGGTTCTCGTTCCGTTCTCCGGAGTAACTCATGGAGCCGTGGTGCTGCCGCAGACTCACCATTATGAATCTGCGGGGGAGGGAGTCATTAACCAACTAATAATTAATAATTAAAGAGACAGAACAGGAGAAGGGAAGAGGACAACCCGGAAACTTAAGATGCAGTTTGTTAGGTAATTGCACTACAAGTTCTTTGAGGTGTGCCTCTTCGGAATAGGATATTATTTAAAAAGTTATGGTCCGCAAGACCATTTTCAAAGTATCCGGACAAAAAATAAAAAAATAACCAATGATGCAGGGTGACAAATACGTACTTAGCATTCGAGCTCCGCTTTTCGCGGTACTTGTCGATCAGGGCAGCTAGGCTCTTGGAACTCTTGTTCGGATTACCGCGCGCGGCACCTGGCACCAACACCAAAAACACGTCGTACGTGTTCTTTTCGTCCTCCAACGCGCGTTCTAAAACATCTGTAAGCGACTGCTTGATTTTGACCACCTGCATCGAGATGTGTGAGTGTATGTTTTTCACATTGCTATTATGGATAGGCTATGGCCAGCTATTCACCTTTTGATTCTCGCAGCAGTTCGTTGCCTCCACCAGGCTCATCTCCTTCGTCCAGGGCAGCGTCTTCAGCTGGCCACTGCGGTCGGGCCAGAACTGCACCGTTACCTTGGGATCGCTGCGGAAGTAACCGAAGGCCAGTGCCACGAGAGCGTCCAGATATTTTAGAGAACGACAGCGGCCGGACAGATATCCTGTGGGGATTTAAAGCAAAAGGGTGACGCATCTCTTCACACAAGAGCAGCTACTCCACTTACTGGATAGGTAGAGCTTCTCCAGATTGAGGGTGATGTGCAGACGCCTACCGAGCGGTTTATTCTGGCCAAAAGATGCCTCATAGACTCCGTGCAGAAAGCTCGGCTTTCGCATCACAGTTCGACACTGAAACATAAGTTCTCGGCTTAACACCAGCTAATAGATCCAATACCAATGCTGTTGTGACCCGGAGCCTACTCACCACCTTTCTAGGCTTCCTCATACGCATATCCTCCAGCAGCAGACGCACGGGAGGCACGTTGCCGGCCTTGAGCTTCTTCTCGTCCATCAGCTGCTCGGTGAAGGGGCGCACCTGGTGATGCAGCCGCACAAGGCGCGGCAAGCTCTGGAGCAGCTGCTCGTAGCTCATGCGTGGGATGAGGAACTTGGCAAGGCCAGGATCCTTAAACAGCTGAAGGGGCACATGTTCCCAGCTCAGCGTCAGCTTCTTCACGATGGGCAGGGCTTGTCTGGGATCCTCCAAAAGTCGCAGTTGGACCACGCCCTCGATAATCCCACGGCAGCCGCTTAGGGGTGTCAGAAAAGTGGGCCACTGGGCCAGCTCCTTTAGCTGCGACGAAAGCAGCCGCAGGGCAGCCATGATCTCCGGCCGAAAATCGGCTTCCCGGAAGTGACAGCGATGCAGCAGATCGCGGTGCGCCGACCAGCGAGAGGTATCGCCCACCGACCACATGTGAAGCAGGCGGTCCAACGACTGCTTGCCATACCAGTCCAGGATTGCCTTGCGCACAGTGCGGTTGAAGGGCGTCTTTCGGTCGAGCAGCTTCTGCACCCTCTTCACCAGCTGGACGAACAACAGGAGGTCCGAATCGCTTGTTACCAGGTCGGGGAATCTGATCCGCACCAATTTCCGTTGCTTCTCGTCTTCGCGCGTGGAGAGAAAGACGGCCAGGATGAGGAGCGGCTCGTCTGGACGCGGGAGGTGTTCTGCATTCGGTCCGGCGCCCAGAACACTAGCCAGCACCTCGGCCATTTCCGTTTCGGTCACCTGGGCGCAGAGCTCCTGAAGCGCCTCGAAGCTGATCTCAACGGCAAGGTCAAGCGTGGGCGGGGCATACACAGGTATCTCCGTGGAGCCAATGAAACAAAAGCGACGCAGCTTGTCAATCGCCGGAATGGAGGAAATGGCAGTGGTCTCATTTATTAAGAAATTGTTCTTTAAGCTCTCCTTTTTCCTAACTGAAGCTGAATATGAAAGAGTAAGGGAATCAGATTGTACTTAACAAGAATAGTGGATCAGTATTCCTAGCACCAATAACTGGCTTGTTTCACAATTGCAATTAGTTTTGTACATACAGATGTTGGAAATGTGCATCAGTAAATAAAGCCATTTGATTTTTAAGTGATTTGCACGAATGTAGTGCAATGTGTAGTGAAGTTTAAAAAATACTCATCTTTGCAAAAACAATACATTTTTCGATACATTTTAAAACAAAAAATATAAAACAAAAAAAAAAACATAAAAATAATATCAAGCTCTTTTCGCGGCCGCGTCTGTTTTTGCATGAGAATAATAAGCACATGTATGTACATACATGCGTCGTACTCACATTCCTTGGCTGCCAGCGAGTCCTTGTTCTTGAGCTGCTCCCTTTTGGAGTCCTCCGGTTGCTTGGTCTCTTGGACCTCCCTGGATCCACCAGGTCCCGAGGAGCCCTTGGGCGCACTGCTTCCCCTTTGGGACAAGGATAATCCCTGCAATCCAAGGGAGTTTGATCCCTTGGCCTTCTTCATGGTAGCAATTATTGCATTTTACAATCTAGTCGCTTATTCTTGGATTCGCAGGCGTTGGATTTCAGTTTTCCACGCCCTGTTTTTTTCGACTTGCCCGCCTTGTCTTTCTAAACAGCTCGCTTCGTCTCTAATTCGCTTTAACAAGTTTTAAAGTTTTATACATAATTTTGCAGAACGGAAAGCATCAGCTAGAACTGGCCCACCAGCGAGAGAACTATCGATAACATCGATGGCCTGTTTCTGATAGTTTTCCAAAGCAATCGCTGTTTTAAATGTATTTGATATATTAAATTGAACCTTTTAGACTAGAAAACGCGTAGTAACTGAGAAAGCTTATATTTTCAAAAATAAAAATTCTAGTCCTGAGATCGGTTTAATTTAATACGCGAGTGTGGGAAGTAAATCGTTTTAAGTTGTATTTTCTGTATTTATAAAATCCTTGGGTGCTTACAGTTTCTGACAGGCACAGTACGAATCTAAAATTTAAGCTACGGGGCGAATTCATTCGTGATCTTTGAATTAACCGGTAATTATCCGCTGGCTATCGATAAATCGCTTTGCCGTAGAATGGTCCCCCCAAACAGCTGATTTCGCATTACTAAACTATTTGATAACACCGGACTTGAATTTCGCCTCGTTTTTCAAAATTTATCACTGAAAACTTGCCTGGAGATGCAGTTCCTCCGCGTCGGAGGTCGTATCGCGGCGCTGCGCCAGAGAGTGGCGGACAAGTTCCAGATGCCGGAGCGTTTCAAGGGCACCGTCGTGGAAAAGTGGGTGCAGTACTGGAACGGCCTGGTCAGGGACTACACGGAGGTCGCGGTGGGCGTTGTGCGGGAGTCCTACTTGAAGCCCAAAAAGGCGTTGCTCTACGGAACGGGAATGGCGTTCCTTTACCACGCCGGTCTCAACAACCCCGACGAAGAGGCATTTATGACTCTACTCAGGCGGTCCACGAACAAGATGATTACTGTGCCATTGGAACTCCAGAACCCTGTGACCGCCGACTATCTTCTGACCCTGGAGCGGGCCATCAACCAGAAAAAGTTGCGCCTTCTCTCCTTGGGCATTTGCACGATCCTTTGGGTAGACCTGTACGACGAAGACGACTGCACCTATCCAGCCATCTGCAAATACACCACCGTGGGGATCCTCAACTTCCACGAGCGGATCATCGACGTGGGCTTCTGGAACCAGTACTGGCGACTCAAATGGAAGATGCGCAACTACGACGTCAACTACCTGTGATCCCGAGCCCGAAAAGTTCGATTTTCTTGAAATCATGTTCAGTGCTTAAGCCCATCGAAGGGATGTAATATATGTGTGTTTTTGGTAAAAGAAATCGTGGGTTACATTTATTTTAATACTATACAAATATTGTATATTGAACGACAGCAAACATCTTTACTCCACGTTTTCCACCTCGGTACCATTTTCAGGCTTTGCTGGCGGAGCTTCTACTACTCTTTTTGGTTTAAAATGCGCCTCCAGCAGTTCCTGGCAGTCCTGCAGCCGCGCCAGGTTGTTAATCTTGCCCTGGAAGCTGCCCTCCTTGCCGTTTCCCTTGCCTTCGAGCAGTTCCACGAACTGGGGGCCCAGTTTCTCGACTGTCTCCGGATCCCCGCGTAGAACCAGGTGTCCTTTGGCACTGCTGCCAGCGGAGACGCCCTCTGAAACGGTCAGAAAATAAAAGATTCCCTCGGGTGCCATCCTCAAGAACGTGTTGATGAAGTCCACCTCGATGCCATCGCGTCGATGGAGGGCGAAGAACTTGGGCCGCTCCTTTTGGGCCAGATTCTCCAGCCGCTCTGCTTCGGCAGTCGCGAAGTCCTTGAGCAGCTGCTGAAGGTACTTTCGGGAGCACTTCACATTCTGCTGCAGCTTCTGCACGAGCTCTAAGTGTTGGCTAGGACCACCTCTGTCAAATTAAATTGTAAATAGTATAAACTGGAGTATCTGCAGGTATAAAATACAGAAGTCGGAAACTCACTTGAGAGCCTGTGTGAGTTGCTGTTCGCGCTGAAAGACCTCCCCAAGTTTCCCCAGAACCCTCTCGCCCACGACGAAGTGGACCAGGACATGGGTCTTGACCTTCTCGGCATACAGAAGCTTGACGCACTGCAGCTGGGAGAGATTTGTAACGTGAGTGCCGCAGCACATATTGCTCTCGATGCCCTCGATTCGCACCACCCTGGCTAGACCCTCGTGGTCCTTAGGCAGCCCCCGCGGTGCTCTAGCGTCCTGGAACTCCTGGGCTACCTCGGGGTCCACCAGAAGCACGGTCACCTCGCGGCCCTCTCGGATAAGGTCGTTGGCCTGCCGCTCGATGAGGTCCAGCGACTCGCGGCTGATTAAGTGCGGTGTGCCCAACTGGATGTAAGAGACACTGGAGCCCAGGGACCACGAGGTAGTGTCGTATTTGAACTCCCGGTCGAAGAGTGCGGTGATCAGATGCTGGCCCGAGTGCTGCTGCATGTGGTCCAGCCTCCTTTGGTAGTCGAGGGTCAAAAGGACTTCCGCATCCTGCTCAAAGCTCGCTGGAGCCTCGACGAAATGGACAGCCTCTGATCCCTTCCGCTGCACATTTCTTACGGGGAATCCTCCGAGAGTTCCGTAATCGCAGGGCTGGCCTCCGCCCTCGGGAAACAGTATCGTGTCCTCGCAGATTACATGAAAACCCTTCAGCTTCTCGACTTCTCCGTTGGGAGTCGTCCAATCCAAGGTGGCAAACTCGCTACTTACGACTTTTGTCTTGAACTAGCCAATTTAGGTTACAAATTATGTAATTGGAAGCCTATAGTCAATAAGAGACGCTCACCTGCTTCAAGAAGCTGTCCTCCTGGCACTTGAAAACCATCTTCTCCCAAAGCCCACGCAATTCCGACCCGCTTATCGAAAGTATAAACAATTTATGAGAGGCTTCATCAACAAGTGTTCTTTGGAACTAGTTCATCGACAAACTATTGGACAGATGATGCCAGAAGTGGATATCGAGTAAAACATACATTTCCTTAGCACACCTAAAAACACTTTTCCTTTTATTTCCGTTTTGAATATATTCTTTGTTTAACAAATAAACGTTACCGTAATTACAGTTTTAAAAAAAAGTTTTGTAAGTTCATTAGGGCACTGTGTAACACTGGGTTTGAAACGAACTTACGCGCCAATTTCGTTTGAAAAAAAACCAATTATACCTTAATTAAATAATAAATTTAACTGAATTATTTCCTTTAATTTTAAATGGAAAAAGTGGAAATACTCAAGTGTGTGAGATAAAACCCTCTAATTTAACAATTGACTTTCTAATTATCCTCCCTCTTCTGTTTACTATCTTCCTTCTCGCTCGAATTCGACGACCGTCACCTCGCTCGCTCTCCCGCGATGTGGAGCTGCGTCTGCGCTGCTCTTTTCGCCTTTCTTCGTTGTTGCCCTCCTGGCATCCCCCATTATCCACCATCCCTTTTGTCCTGCCATTTGGGTGTTACGTCCTTTGCTGCTCAACAGTTTCCTGCCAACGTCCCGTTACGACACACCGTTACGTTATTCCAAGCAGCATCACGGGATTGCGAAAGGAGCTACGAAATCGGTCCTGAAATAGGTTTTAATGCAACCCCCTGCCGTTAATCCGAGAGTAATCGGTTAAAGCCCCGTGTTTTTCGCCGCCGTCGGTCGGTCAACGCGTATTTTCGTTGTTTGTTTTAGCGATACTTCATTTTTTTCGCGAGTGTTTTTTTGGTTATATAAGTGAGATTTTGTCGGGCGAGCACAGCTAACAACCGAAAAGCCCGTTCAAGGATACTCCTCCAGCGAAAGGCAACAAAGTAAAGCTGCCAGCAGTCGCTGCCAAAGTTCCTTAAAAGTTATTAACAAAGCATGCTAGTGTAGAGCAAGATCTCCATGGCAGCGGTACTCACTTCACGTTTCTCAACCCGATTGAAAACCGAAGAAAACCTCCATCGCCCTGGGAAACTAAGCCTAAACTAATTGCTGGGCCGAAAAGGAAGTCAATTCCATTACACTGCATTAGCAAGTGGGCGGAAAAGTCGGGGCGATGGGGTTTAGGTGAATTCACCGTTGATTGATTTATTGTGGACCCAGTCACGCAAGTCCCATAATTGTCCTGTCTGTGTGTGGGTGTGTTCATTTTGCATGGTTTGATTGATGGAGCGGACACGTGAAAAGTATCTACTGTCAGTAGTACACTTACAAATTATTACACATCTAGCAATGTGTTCTCTTGTAAGCTAAATAGTTTTTTGTCCAGCTATTTGAAGTGAATATTTTCCCCCAAAAACGCATTTCTCTCAGTGCATGAATGTTGTATGTGAATGTGTACCATTATTAGTAATACGTGTATCACTCGGCAAAAGCAGCAGCGGCACTGCGATGGCGTCTCCTACTAATGCACCGTTATCGCCTGCAATTAAGCACTAACAAAAGCACCAAGCCACAGTAAAGCCACGACAAAAACACAGTAGACACCCGAACTGATTACACGCAGCAGCGGTTGAAATGCGCCTCACTTAGCGGCCCTGAAAAGCGAGCTACAAAAAATGAGCAGTGAGCTGCTAGCTACCTAAACGCAACACCAGGTGGCGCCGAAGGAAGTGATACCGAGGAATTCTCGAAGAACCGGAAGTGACAGAGCACACGCTAGCACCGCACACCATCACACCACCACACCCCCACAGCATCCACAAAGTACTCACAGAACAGCCACACAGCACCCACTGAGCACTCCACGCACACCTCCGACACTCCTAGCGAACCGAAGTAATAATAAACGCAATCATGGCCAACACAGCTCAGTTACTGCGTCGCCAGAGCTCCCGGGATATCGTCCTCAAAAGCCAGAAGAGCATCGATCAGCTGGAACTGAGGGTAAGCCTTGGGCACGCATCCCCGCCAATCCAAGTGACCACTTCCCTATCACTTGTCCAGGAGCTGCGCGGTCGTCTCGTGTCGAAGGAGCATGGCGTCAGCCACCACCACCACACATCGCTGCACCACCACCAGCCGCTCTATGGGGCCACCAACCAGGGCTTCCTGTCGGACGCCTTCGACGAGTCCTCGGAGCTGGAGCAGGACCCGCCGCCCTTCGGCTCCGAGGCGAGCACCTCCAAGGCCAAGGCCGAGCTGGTGGCCAGCGCCGCCGCCGCGGACCAGCAGGACCTCGTCGAGGGCGAGAAGGAGGGCGAGGAGCGCGAGAGCTGGGACAGCAAGATCATGTTCCTGCTGGCCACCATCGGGTGGGTGCTCCTTTCCGTTTCCGCTTCCAGCTGGTTTCCAACTGGTTTCCAGCTGGCTTACAACGAGCAACCTGTTCGACCGATCTACTTGACCCAATTGCTCTGTTTGCTCTGTTTAAATCCACAGCTACGCCGTCGGACTGGGCAACGTGTGGCGCTTCCCCTATCTGGCGCAGAAGAACGGCGGCGGGGCCTTCCTGGTGCCCTACTTCATCATGCTGTGCATCCAGGGCATCCCGATCTTCTACCTGGAACTGGCCGTCGGCCAGCGGCTGCGCAAGGGCGCCATCGGGGTGTGGAGCCAGGTGTCGCCGTACCTGGGCGGCATCGGGATCTCCTCGGCGGTGGTCAGCTACATAGTGGCGCTCTACTACAACACCATCATCGCCTGGTGCCTGATCTACCTGCTGCACAGCTTCGAGTCGCCGCTGCCCTGGGCGGACTGCCCGACGCGGCTCTACCGCAACTTCACCTACGACCACGAGCCGGAGTGCGTGGCCTCCTCGCCGACGCAGTTCTACTGGTACCGCACCACGCTGCAGTGCTCGGAGAGCGTCGACCTGCCGGAGGGCTTCAACTACCACATGGCCATCGCGCTGGTCGTCTCCTGGCTGCTGGTCTACGTCTGCATGGTGCAGGGCATCACCTCCTCGGGCAAGATCGTCTACATGACCGCCATCTTCCCCTACGTGGTGCTCATCATCTTCTTCTTCCGCGGCATCACGCTCAAGGGCGCCGCCGACGGGGTGGCCCACCTGTTCACGCCCCGCTGGGAGACCCTGCTGGACCCCGTCGTCTGGCTGGAGGCCGGCACCCAGATCTTCTTCTCGCTGGGCCTGGCCTTCGGCGGCCTGATCGCCTTCAGCTCGTACAACCCGGCGAACAACAACTGCTACCGCGACGCCATCCTCGTCTCGCTCACCAACTGCGGCACCTCGATGTTCGCCGGCGTGGTGGTCTTCTCGGTCATCGGGTTCAAGGCCACCGCCACCTTCGACCGCTGCACCGAGGAGCGCACCGCGCTGCTGGCCCAGAACCGGACCCACAACCTGCCCGTCTGCGACCTGGCAACGGAGCTGGCCAACGTGAGTGCTCCCCTCCCCCTCCCCCTCCCCCTTCCCCTCCCCCTCCCACTCTCACTCCAACTCCCACTCGGAAAATAATTTGTTGGCTTCCCTATACCGCTTGCAGAGCGCTTCGGGCACCGGACTGGCCTTCATCATCTTCACGGAGGCGATCAACCAGTTCCCGGGCGCCCAGCTCTGGGCCGTCCTCTTCTTCCTGATGCTCTTCACCCTGGGGATCGACTCGCAGTTCGGGACTCTGGAGGGCGTGGTGACCTCCCTGGTGGACATGAAGCTCTTCCCCAACCTGCCCAAGGAGTACATTGTGGGGGTGGGTACATCACCACTCACCAGTCACCAGTCACCAGTCACCACTCACCACTCCAATAACCTCCTCATTCCGTAGGCCCTCTGCTTCTCCTGCTGCCTGATCTCCATGTGCTTCGCCAACGGAGCGGGCAGCTACATCTTCCAGCTGATGGACAGCTTCGCCGGCAACTTCCCGCTGCTGATCATCGCGCTCTTCGAGTGCCTCTCCATCAGCTACATCTACGGGGTGCGGCGCTTCTCCGACGACATCGAGATGATGACCGGGTCGCGGCCGAGCTTCTACTGGATGTTCTGCTGGAAGTACCTCTCGCCCGCCGCGATGGTCACCATCCTGCTGGCCTCCTTCTACCAGCTGCTCACCGAGGGCAGCAGCTACCCGGCCTGGATCGCCTCCAAGGGGGCCGCCGAGTCCATGGAGTGGCCCCACTGGTGCATCGTCGTCGCCTTCTTCCTCATCCTCTCGTCCATCCTGTGGATCCCCATTGTGGCGGTGCTTCGGTGAGATGATTTCCTAGGAAATATTTCAAATAGAACTCTGTCCTTGCCTATTTGCTAGTGCCTAAGACCCTGCTAGCTACAAACTTATGTTCCCAACCATTTTTTCTCGCCCACTGTCAGTCTCTGCGGCATCAAGGTGGTGGAGGACTCGGACCCCGCCTGGTTCCCCGAGGCGGAGCTGCGCGAGGTGCACGGCATCGTGCCCCACGAGCCGACCGAGCTGGAGCGCAGCATCTTCTGCTTCAACATGGACGGAACGGAGGGCATGTGCTGCCCCAAGTACGGACTGCCCGAGAAGTCGCTCGAGGAGGAGGAGTAGGCCGGCGGAGCCCGGGGGAAGGAGCCACAACGACAATAAATCAGATGAAACCGAACCGAAGAGAAGCGGGAGCAGAAGGGGAAGCATAAGAGGAAGCGGAAACGGAAGCAGAAAGGAAACGGAAACGGAAGCGGGGGAACACAACGCAGCGAGGCTCAATGTAAATAAGGACAATAACTAAGCTCTCACCGAAGTTGGCGGCGTCGATGTCTACACTCCCACATGCTCCCAAAGACTGTTCGAAGATAATAAGTGAAAAGCGGGGAAGGGCAAGCGGGAAAATAGGAAAAATAGGGAAATAGCAATAGCAATAGCAATAGCAATAGCAAAGCAAAAGCGATACTAGGTAAAACCCGACGCTGGATGCGCGGTTTCATTCAAGCAGAAAGCCAAGGAAAAGCAGCCAACAAACAACAACCAACAGCCAAAAGCAAAAAACCGAAAACAAGTACCGAAATCAATGGAGATATTTCCGCATACTTCATTAGCATGCGGTCGTATATAATCGTATGTAGGCGCGACTATTATGTTCCATTGCCTTTTCTCCGCGGGTTTCTCTTCGAAAGGGGCAGGGGGGGGCGTATATAGGAGGCCGTTATACGGCCACCCTTATAGGGAGGGTCCACATATCCGATTTCGCTGCTAAAGAGAAACCGCACTCTGTACCACAACGCAATTGCTGACTATACACGATATAACTACTATACGCGATACGCACTGTATCGCATTCCGATTCTAGAGTAACTGTTTGATTTGACCATATCACGAGGGCATGGGAATGGGACTGGGACGGGGGCACCACCTGCAAGACACATAACTATATATAGCAGTCATTATTTGTTGTGATCGCTCCGCTTTCTGTGTTTACTGTTGTCAGCGAGGATAATGTTGCTCGAGCCTCGAGCAGGCGAAACCATATCATCGGAAACTATGCTTAAACTAAAATATAATATAACGTTTACGTCTCGGTGTTAAGGATGCGGAGGAGATATATTGGACACGTGTTATGTTTTGCTCTTATTGAAAGTTATACGATTACAATTACTTGTTGATAGCCGATATCATCGCCAGAGCCCCCACTCCATTGTACATTTGAGATGATGCGGGTGTCGATCGTCGATCTATATATTTACATCAAACTAAGCATTAACAAATCGCAATCGCAACCGTTCAACTAGGTGCAAGAGGAACTCTATATAGATATACACATACATATAGATATACATACACATATACATATACATATACATATACTTAACTGGAGGAGGCAGCTTAAGGTTTACCGCCCCCCGATATCATCGCATTGAAACCTACATACAATGTGTATTATTATACAAATTAATGGATATTATACGTATATTTATGTGTGTTGAAGCGGCTACGGGTGTGCGAGTTCTTTTTAAAGTTCGTCTAGATGTTTTTGGGTTCCGAGCGGAGAACACTTTGTATGGTAACTCACTCCCCCAATAGCTACTTATTTCGCGGTACTATGTACAACCTCTACACTTATTTATACACGTGCATCGCTAAATTATATACATTTGTTTCAAGTGAAAGAACATATACTATACAACTACTAAGAGTTATTGATGTTGACAATAAAAACCACGCGAACACGTTTTAGGCAACGAAGATATATAGACAACCTCCTATTTCCCGAAGGGAACACAGACACAATCCAGGGCGAGTACGATGAGAGATATAGTGTATGCAATATGCAAACGCCTGACCCGATCAGATGCGATCTATGTACATATAGTTTGTACATTATATGCAGATCGGTCTCAGTGGAGAACCCACTAACTCGCACTGAATGGACGCAATGAAAACAGAGATATGTCATCGTATACAAATGTACTTCGCAACTGATAACAGATAATAACAAACTTCCAACTAAATGACAATAAACAATTCGAAACTCACATAGGTGTGCTTGTGTTTCAATTGATAGTTGCAGCTGAAGCCCATGGGCTTGTGGCACTTGAATAATCTCGTGAGCAGTGGGCATAAAGTGTTTTTCTCAGTGCGCAGGGGCAACGGTAATCAGCAGCAGCCCTTCTGGTTGCAGCGGAGCGCAGCAGGCGGAAACAAACTGGCAAGTGACCGGCACTTATTCAAGCCCATCTGGGCGGGAAAAGCGCTACGAGCGGTACGGGCGGGACGAGCGGCGCGGCAAGCGGTACGGAGTCAGCTGTCATCGTCGGACGGACGTCTCGCTGCATCGAATTAGCGGTAAATTACAAGCTGCACTGCCTGCATTTTGCTGTTTGCTGTTTGCTGCCTGTTGCCTGTTGCATGTTGCATGTTGCTGCTGCACTCGTGCTTTCTGCATATGCAGTGCACTCGTACAGTGTGCAACTGCAACGCGAGTGCAGCCTTGCATTCCGCTCATTGCACTCGTTGCACAAATTCGAGGCGTCTCTCCGCGGTTTATCTTTCCTTTGCATAAACACCTCGCCACCAAGTGTATAATTAAAAGCAGAAGCCCAGCGGCAATTGCTCAGCCAGCGGAGCCGCGTGGAGGAAAGTTGTATTCATATTTTCCAGCGGACACTTCATCTCCAAAATCATTTTTTATACTCTTGCAGAGGGTGTTATAATTTCAGACAGAAGTTTGCAACGTAGTGAAGGAGACACCTCGGACCCCATAAATAAATATGCACATATGTTCTTGATCAGAATCGAAATACGTCTGTCTGTTTCATAACATCTGTCCCATAAAAATCGGACTACTAAATCATGCCACAGCAAAGATCGAAGATCTTTATTTAATTAATGGCAAAAATTATTTGATAAAATTCAGCTTTTGAATTTCTTTCTTATTATTCTTGAATGATTTCAGATCTTTATCTGTTGCTCTCGATTTCTTGGTCAAAAAAGCTAACCTACCTGAAAGACGTATTTTTGATCTTAAAATTAAAAACTTAATTATTTACTGTCTAATTGATGTACTCACTGCGAAAAAAACTTGGTGCACTGCATCCAAATGTCCAACTCCAAGTTACAAGTAAGATGGTGTCACCAATTATTTTCTGCAACCAGCCAAATACACAACCAAAGACCTGAAATAAAATAAAATAAATATTAATTAAATAATTAATTAAAAACATTTACAAAAAGCCACGTCATCACTTAATTAAAAAAAAAACTGTAACCCACCTCTTGCGGTTTTGATGTACTGCATCCTGGAGTCCACTCCATGCAGGAAGGTAACGGGCACTTTCAAGTTCATGCCAAGTCAGGTCATGATGCAGTGCATCCTCCACTCCGACCAGGAGGATATACACAACTCCATGCCAAGTCAAGTGATGATGCACTGTATCCTGATCCACAGCAAGCAGGAAGGCATCTGGCATCCAAAAGGTCATGCCAAGTCAGGCCATGATGCACTGCATCCGGGAGTGGACTCCAGTAGGAGGAGTCGACCCATGACGCACTGCATCCGGGAGTGGATTCCAGTAGGAGGAGTCGACCCACGGCGCACTGCATCCGGGAGTGGACTCCAGTAGGAGGAGTCGACCCATGACGCACTGCATCCGGGAGTGGATTCCAGTAGGAGGAGTCGACCTATGATGCACTGCATCCGGGAGTGCACTCCAGTAGGAGGAGTCGTCCGGATACTCTGGAACCACTTTACCAACACACACGCACACACACACACTTCCAGAGACCGGAGGTTTCTTAGAGAAACTGCCGGTCATCCCGGAGAACTTGAGAAATTGACCAAAATCAAGGGGTATCCCACTACGAATCAGCCAGAACCAGTTGGAAATTATAGAAGCAAGAAAACGTTAAAAATTTGAAATTATTTTTTTCGATGACGTGGCCCTATTAATTTAATTAACATTAAGTTAACATTAAATTTACATTATATTAAATTAACATTATGTTAACATTATATGGATTTTTTAACATTTCACATTTAAAATACTTATTTTTTGCCTTTTGCACCTTAATTGATGCTAATTTTTTTAAAAAAGTTAAAATGATATCCTGACATCCATTTGATCTGCTTATTTGAACATTGGCATTCCCTTTAATCTACTTTTTCAAATTTAAAATCTACTTTTATTTTAAAAAAATATTAAAAAAATAATCTGTTTCACCGCTCTTTTCCCAAAACATAGAAAAATTTAAATAAATTAATCTAATTATTACTTTGGGGCTCATTTCTTATACCCTTGCAGAGGGCACTATAATTTCAGTCAGAAGTTTGCAACGCAGTGATGGGGCACCTGAGACCCCATAAATAAATCATTGATCAGCATTACGACCAGAATCGAAATACGTCTTTACGTCTGTCCGTCTGTCTGTTTCTTAACATCTGTCTCATACAAATCGGACAACTATATCATATAAGATCAATGTTGAGGAAGAGTAGCGAAGAAGAAGTGGTCGAAGATAAAGATATAAGTAGAAAGACCTAGGCATAAATACCCTAAAAGAAAACAAGGTCTGCCAAAAACTATCTTTAGTTTTTTCGAACACCTTTAGAGTCATTCAAAACTCTAATGTTGGGCAACCAATTGGGCAAAGACAACTCAATGCACCCTTACGTTTCGGGCTTTCCAGCTGATCCATATTTCTTGGCTCGAACCCGACCGAGTTTACCTGAGAGCTGCTTTGATTGCCAGCCGAATTCCTGCTCTGCAGTTGAAGTCTCAATCGCGGCATCGTCGCACCTGAGCCCCTAAAAACGAAGACCGAAAACCAGTTTGAGGCCTTGCCACATTCCATCGATCTGTCCACTGTGCCCCGCGCTCGCTCCGAAGTTCCACTGTGCAGCTGCGGCAGCAAACAATTAACTCTGCCAACAACCGCGCACTGCGCCACCAGCAACAATGAGCCCCAGCCACACTACACACTACACACTAACCACGCTGGCCAACACTAACAACACTAACAACCATAATAATAAAAGCGGCGGACAAGTGCCGACGTCAGCGTCGCTGCCGCTGCCACTGCCACTGCCGCTGCCTCTGCCGGCGTCCGACGTCGACGGCAGCTGCGCCGGCGCACGTAAACAAATTCTCAGCACTGCATATTTGTGGTACCCTTCGCTGGGCGGAGGACGGCTTGGGTTCCTCATCGGGTTTGTGGCACAAGCTGATTAGCAGGTATTTAAACTAGACTACTAAAATACTCGGTGTTACTAACAACATTTCGATTCATCGATAAGATTTATTTATTTTATTTTATTTTATCTTGTGCACTTGAGGCACTTTTAAATTAAAGAGTGTTCGACTAGTCGCCCTGCGGCAGTGGCTCTCTTATTTTTGTTTCAGGTAATTTCTGCGGCTGCTGCTTTTTGTGAGTTTCTTGAAAGCAAAAATTAAAAAACACAACAACGGCTCGAGAAAGAGATGGAGCCTAGACGCCAGAAAGAGAGGGAGCAAGGCAGCGGAGAAGGAGAAGAAGAAGAGGTAAAAACATTCCCCTGCGAAGCACGCCAACCCAAAGCGACTGACTATGTTGCTGCGGTTTTCAGTTGCCAGCGCGATTTTGAATGGGTTGTACGCGCGGCGAGTACTCGAAAGTATCTCGCATCCGATAGGTTTCATATTTCGAGCATCTATCCGTGAGATGCAGCGCCAATAAGAGCCGAAAACTGAGGAACAGGCGGCGTGCGTGCGCGCAAATGGAAAAGTATCCCATTTTGGATCTCTGGAAGTGCGAAACGGTTTTCCGAATTTTCTGTTTTTTGTTTGGTTTTCCCATGTGTGGTGCTGTGTGTGCAAAAGAAAATTGTGTGCAATAAGCGGCGAATGCAGGTCAGCCAGCAGCCAACAGCCAGCAGCAGCAGCAGCAGCAGCGACGAAATCCACACCAGCAGCAGGTAAGCGCCGCTTCAAATTTTTCCAAGCAACTAAGCGACGAAAAAACGAAATACCAGGTTCAAGTGTAACCAGTTTCCAGATTCCGAGAGCCAGAAAAAAATCGAAAAAAACCGAAAAATGCTTCGGGCAGAGCGCGCCCAATATTTCAAGTTGCCAGCTATTGAAATGCAAATCCCGACTTGTTCTTTGCTTCGCAGAATACTCGAATTCCCTGTCGAACTTGGGGGGTTGCTCCATTAATTGATCTGGCTCGACCCAGCTGTAAGCCCAGCGAAAAATATACTAAGTTGATTGCTAAGTAATATAAAATATACATAACATATGTGTCATAAATATGAAGGGATTGATAACAAGGCGAATTGAATTCACGCAATTTGGCAGAACCAGTTTGGCTATGCTACTCTATGTACTACTCTATGAAAGTGGCATTCCTCAATTCGAATTCAAATAGTTAGAAAGCTTCTTGCGCAGGAAATAACCTTACACAGCAGTCATCTGCCTTCCATGGCAAACCCAGAGTGATTCAGGGCCTTCCTCTTCTGTAAGGCATTCGGTGGCCGGTTCTGCCAGCTTTTGCGGTGCCGAGTTTATCGTTATTATGATGATTGCTTTTCTGGTTTCTCATAATTTATTTCGCTTCTGCTGGCGAGGCTTTTAGCATTTTTCGACAGCATCTCCGGCTTAAATGTCAAGCTCGTGTGCTGGCTTAGCTCCCCGCTCCGAAGAATGGAATTGTTTGTGGCAGGCTTTGTTTCTTGGAGGTTAGGACTGAGTAGGCTTCCCAGCTCACAGAAAATGTCACGAGTAGTCCAAAACTTTTCGTTGGCATCACACTCGAATCGAGGCTAAATTTTTAGTGAGTGCTTTCTTAACGCAACTCTGGTTTGCTCCTTCCTTGCAGCAACAGCAACAGCAACAACAGCAGCAACAGCAACAGCAGCAGCAGCAGCAGCAACAGCAGCAACAACAGCAACAACAGCAACAACAGCAACAGCAACTGCGATTGCGGCAATCTACATGCGGTCGTCTAACTGTAAAGCTCTTGGCAACGGTCAGCGGCAAACCCAGCGGAACGCACAGCAGCAGCATCATTAGCCACTCGGCACTCGGTTGCATCAGCCCCGAGATACCAGAGTCATAGAGCCATAGTTACCTGGATACCTGGATATCTGGAGTCGGAGCAGCAAACCAATGCTGCAGAACCATGGCGGCAACCACTAGCAGTGCCTTGCGATCGGAGCCGATGCGCGGCATCTCCATAATCATTGAGTCGCCAGGATTGGCAACAGCAATAGCCACGGCAGCAGCAGAAGCAGAAGCAACTGCAATTGCAGCAGCAGCAGCAGCAGCAGCAACAGCAGCAACAGCAACTCAAGAAGCAGCCTCTGCCGAGAGCGAGAGCAACACTGAAATGTCGCCCAAGTCCCAGGCTGGCATGTTGCTGGCATTTGGCGACTCGGCAGCAACAACCAAAGATCATTTGGAAACTAGTTACGACACAACAACAGTGACTGCAGCAACAACAACAACAGTGACTGCAGCTGCAACTGCAACAGCAACAGCAACAGCAGCGAACACCAAAATATATCCACAACTGCTGCTGCGCATCGGCGGAGAAATTGGCGACGCTGCAGCCACATCTCCGACCATAATCAGCTGCAGTGGCGAAACTGCGTCCAGGCAGCCAGCATCTGCGACAGAAGCAGCAGCAACAGCAGCAGCAGCAGCAGCAGCAACAGCAACAGTGGCAACATCGCCGCACAACAACACGGTGAAGATCCAGATCGAAGGCCAGGGTCAACCGCGCTCCCTCGGAAAGCAGGTCAGCGTGGTGAAGCTCAACGAGGGCGTCGAGGAGATGCAGCAGCAGCAGCAGCACCACCACCACCACCTCTGCTTCCTGGTGGACACCAGTGGCCAGTACTCGCCCTGCGAGACCCTGGACAGCGGCACGGGCAGCGACCTGGAGGGCCACCTCAGCCAGATCAGCCAAATCAGCCAGATCAAACAGATCAGCCAGCAGGCAGTGAGGCCACCTCTGCTGGAGCTGCACCTGCAGAGCACGCGGCTGAAGGTCGGTGGCCAGGAGGAGCAGGCGGGTCAGCAGGAGCAGGAGGTGCAGCGGGCCTACAGCCTCACCGACGGCAGCGAGGAGGGCGACGAGAGCGGCCACTCCTCGCTCAGCTGCGACTCCCTGCACTCCGGCGGGCTGCTGCCCACCTCCCTGCTGCGGGACATCCGGCTGAGGGAGCGGGCGGGGGAGCGGGAGCGAGAGGGACGCCCACTAGTCACCAAGATCGACGGCAGACCGCTGCAGTTCGAGGCGGACGGGTACTACACCTTCCACGTGAACGAGCACGCGAGCTGCCGCAGCTCCGGCGCCAGCTCGACCTCCTCCTCCTCCTCCTCGGCGGAGTGCGATGCGCAGGAGCAGGCGCAGGCGCAGGCCTTCCCGGAGGAGCCGCAGGACGAGGGCTTCGCCGGGTTCCGGGACGTGCGGACGACGAGCCAGCCCTGCGCCAGCGCCACCATCAGGTCCGCCAAGGGAACCGTGCGGGGCGTCCGGAACCGGGTGCGCAGTGGAGTGGCCACCTTCATGCAGCTGCAGCAGCCCAACCTCAGGGTGAGTCCGTTTCCAAGGTCATAAGGTGACCACATCCTGTATATTAAACCCAAGTCCAGGTTGGTTATCTGTTAAAGCCAAGCCAAGCAAACAAAAGCCAGCAATCAGTTTATGTACTCACTTACTCGCTTCATAGATATTTTTTTAACCAGTGAAAAATATTCAAAGCGATCATTAACTCATCACTTTGAAATCGATCCAATATATAACTATAGGAATCGCTTAATCTGAAGAACTTGAATTGAAAGCATTAGTTAGATTTGGCATCCTTGGTAACTCACTTTACTCAAATACGTTTTCCTCGGCGTGTTTAACTGAGTCACGGATATTTCCAAGACATCGTGCGGCTACTTTGAATATGCTCGGATTATTCCGATCGCCAAATGATTCACACAAACACCCATTTAATCGCATGTGGGTGTTATCCATTGAGAAAGTTTTCGGCTCTGCTGCGAAATTCGTTTTCATTTTGAGTTGTTTTTGTTGATTTTTTGGAATTTTGTGTGAAACCTTTGTCTTCGGGTCGCTGACTTTTGGACGCCCACTCATCCAGCAGCGGAGATGCTCGTGCGGATGCAGGCGAAGCCAAAGATACAGATGCAGCCAGACGGCCTTATGCAATGCCGATACTCAAACACTCACTCACACACTCATACACTCATACTCACACCCGTGAATACTCGCTCGTGTTTAGTTGCATGGGAGGAGGGCCGTCTGCTGGCCTGTGAAAGCGAATTACTCTTCTGTGATTCACCGCTTTGGCCGCTTTGGCCGGGCCTACATTTTATTTCATTATACATAAATGTCCCGAAGAAATTTCTTCTCTCGAAAGACAATTAACACCTGGCGTCCGCTGTCTATTTGCGCAGCTCGTTGCCGTCTTTATTCGCCGCCAAGTGGCTTAATGTGTCACATACGCCCTTCGTCTCTATATGGCTCCGCGCCCAAATCCAAATCCAAATCCAAATTCAAATCTAAATCCGAGTCCGAAAAGGCGAAAGAAAGCTGGCGGAAGTACGAAGCCAGATAGTCGGCCAGATAAGTTAGATAAATGCGGCTTAAATGGTCCGCCACCTGACTAATTGCAAGTGTCTCTTTGTCTTCTTGTATCTTTGTATCTTTGTATCTATGTCTCCCCCCTAGCTCTTCCTCTTCCTCTTCTTCTGCTTGTGCTTCTGCTTTTGGCTTTGGGTTTCTCTTTTGGGAAAGTTCTCCGCGGGGAGGGGGGCTCGCCACTCGCCACCAACTTATTGACCCATTTCCCGAGGGGAACGAGGGGAACGAGGGGAATGAGGGGAACGAGGGGAACGAGGGGAACGAGTGGAACGAGTGGAACGAGGGGAACGAAAGGAACTAGGGGAACGAGGGGAGCGAGGGGAATGAGGGGAACGTGGGGAATGAGGGGTACGAGGGGAAGGAGGGGGGCGAGGGGAGCGCGTCGAATCGCGCATTTATTGGGCCCAATTGGCCTCGCCCGCCCCTCCGGAAGACCCTCCTCCCCCGATTTCTGCCAACTCACCTGGTTGATCCGAGCCATTGAGTGTCGGTTGTGCACAGCGCGTTTTCCTCATGCGATTTTGCGCAATCGACTTATCGAACTTACCTCGAAAATTAGGCAATATCAGCAACTATTATCTGGTAATGGTGACCAGTCAGGTGTATGGGATGATGGCTCAAGCCCTTTAATCTACCTGAGCTGACGAACTTCTCATCGCTCTGCAGCTTTCAAAAACCTTCACGAATCCATCTGAGCTCGACAAGTGGGGCTGTCACCCCTGAATTCATTATCATTTAGTCAGTCATCCATTCAATCGAAAGTTTTACGGCCCCATCAAATAAAATGTAAACTTCTTGGACGCCTCGCGCTGTGATTTTTCTTTGTCAAGTTAGCAAATCCAACCTTGAAACCAAAATCAATATATAATTATTGCCAAAAAAAAAACAGAAAAAGTAAAAACAAAAACCAACACGAAAAACGAAAGATACCAAATTATTTGGCTAAAAACAGCTTGCATAATTTTTCAAGAAACACACAAATTATCATAATAAAGAGCGGCTAATGCGTTAATTATGCAACAACAACAACAACAGCAAAAGCAAAAACAACAACAATAGGATATGCCAGGCAGACAGATCAAATTATATTTTATAAGACGCAGTCGATTCCTTTTGGCTTTTTGAGAGACGAGTTGTTTTTTTCGCTTTAGTGGTGTCATTAAAATATCATTTAGCTAATTTGAGTCGAACCACCACAGGCTGGTATATTCGCATTTGCGATTAACATTAAGCTGGAGCACTAATCGGTATGGCCAGAAAACGAAAGTCCACTTGTGGGTAATGGCCAGGTGATAAGCCCACTTGCCCACGAAAGTTCCACTCGAAGCGATTGAAACTCAGCGATTTCCCATCGGGTTGCAACCAAATCCGAGTGCTTGGGTCGCCCTTCAAATCCACTTTGGATTGCCGACCGTCCTTACCCCTCGTTCTCCAGCAGATCCATTGGGCAAACAAACTTGACGCAGGTCCAGAAATGAAAAAACAACTCCAGGTCACAAATGGCACCATAAAACATCTGGGAAACAACACAAAACTCAGACAATAAATCTAAAGGTTGCCCAGCCACTGCAATGTTTTTGATGGTTCACATTAATGTAATAGCAATAGCAAGTAGTAACATTGGACAAACACATTGCAAGGGTACAGCAAACAGCAAAGGGTGTTATAATCTCAGTCAGAACCCTTGAGTCGAGAAAAAATGCATAAAAATCAAAAAAATCAGAAAATATAGCTGCCATAGGAAACTACGTAAAATTACTCAAAAAACCCAGTTTGTTTTGCAATATCTGAGGAAGTACTTTTCCACATGGAATACATTGATGAATTCGTAATAAAATTCTGATTCCGATGGTATAAACACCCAAAAAAGTAGAAATTTGGTAATTTTTCGCAAAAAATGGTGATATTACCCCTTACCAAAAATCTGTAAGTCACTTTTTGGCCTCAACCTACAACCAAAAATCACTGGAAATATAGTGTTTTTAGCAAAAGTGTCATCTAATCTATGGATTGTTCGATCTATGCGGATATGGTTGTCCGATTTTTTCTTCTGATTGAAATTATAATGCTAAAGTGACTTGATGACTGCAAGAGTGTATATAGTGGGCTTTGGCTCACCGAACCTACATAGCTCCCTTTCTTGTTCAACTTAAATTCGAGTTGCGTTCGAACGAAAGTGAAAATGCCATCGAAAATGTACGTGACTGCGATGCAGATTTGCTGCTTTTTTGAGCGGTCTCCATCTCGAACGAGAGAGTCCCATTAAGAGATACATTTCTGGGCGAACAATTAGGCAACAGGGAGCGAGGGGCGTTAGCTGCATTTCAATTTCAATTTGCATTCAGGGCCAAAAGAAAGCCGCGAGAGCCGCCCGAAATGGGCTTATTAAAATATCCAATTATTGCCAAATTGAAGCTCGTCCGAGCCGTGGCAGAAAGCTGGCAAGGCAAGCACCGCCAAGGCCTGTAAACTAAGACAAAAAGCCAAGCCAAAGCAAACCGAACCGAACGAATCGAAGCCAAACGAACGAAACGAAAGTGAAATGCTGCCACTCCGCTCACGTTCGTCTGTGGGTTTACACAAAAAGAAAGAAAGGAGTGCAGGTGGGATGAGGGGTGGTGGGGGAGGGGTGACACACCTGGGTGTGAGAACCGAGTGCAGATCGCGGCCAAAAGGCTCCGCCGCCTTCCATGCCAGAAGCCAAAAGTGCACACGGTGGGCCAAGCCAAATGAAAACATCAGCAACACGAAGCAAGGTGTCGGCCAAGTGGCAACCAAGTGGGTGGTAAGGTGTTGCTCCCCGATGGAGCCACTTAGCCTCCTCATTTACCTCCATGTATTGCACAACATGTGACCTGTGGTGGTGGTCCTGCCGAGAAGGGCGATCGCGATCGGACAGAAACTTACGCAACCTCGAGTGACGTACTAATTGGGCTCCGAGGAGACCCAGAAGTCCAGAGGGGCAGAGGTACGGAGGTCCACAACCCAAGAGTCCCAGATCCAAGCGATTGCAAGCCCTTTTTTGTCGAGCAGCTGACCTGCTTTCTCCTCGCAACTCGCAACTCGCAGCTCTTGAAAAAACAGCTCGAGATGCTGGTTCACGTGAGCTTCTTGGGGCGTTCTGCCAAATTCGTGGGCAGTCATCTGGCCTGCGGGTCGCAGCCTTGCTTACTGCCATCCCTCCTCCACACTGGGGCTCTTGCGGTGGGTCTTCATCATATCCGATGCCCAGTTGAGGAGCGAAGAGTGATTCGGCCCTCACTCCCCGAACTCATTTCGCTGGTTTTCTTGTCCCCGTGTTCATGACTTTGAACTCTCGTCGGCAAATGGCAAATGGCAAATGGCAAACGGCAACTACTTTGCTCTGTGATTTTCATTGCCCAATCAACGATCTACGAGCTACAGCAAAAAGTACGACAGATCCCGCTCTATTAGTTTATTAATTTGTGAGTTCGATACACATAAATCTTTGGAAACCTGGCATCGAACCGAGAAAACTCGTTGCCGCGGAGATTCGATCATTCGAGGCTTGAGCTTGTTAGCCAGGCTAACAGACTAACGGAGAAGCCTCCTCCCTGCTCCCCAATCTTCCTCAGCTTCCCCAGTTCTCGATTCGTGTTTCCCATTTCGCATTGTCCGAAGATTTCTCCTCACTCATCCACTCACCGCTCGCCCAAATTGGGATCGGAGTACTTGTGCTCGCTGCTCGTCCCGGCGGACAATGGATAATGGATAATGGGTAATGGGTAATGGGTAATGGATAATGGGTAATGGATAATGGGCGCCACTGAAAGAACCCGAACCCATGTGGTCCAAGGGGGATCCGCTAATGGGTTCGGCAAGCGAGCTGGCTCCGATTCGCCTAACAAGTGTTTCGCGCGGCAATTAGCGAGCGATTTGTAACCGCAGCGATTCTCCGCGAGCCAAGTGCTTCGGCCAAGGCCAAGACTATACTTCCCGGTCCGCGGGGAGCTGCTGCACAACATAAGAAAAGCAAAAATCAATAAACTGAAACAGAAGCGAGGCTTTGAGCTGGCTTGTTGGCCCAAACAGAACGCCAGACTGCCAGACTGCCTGACTGATGGGTTCACTCACTCGAGATTCCCTGAGTATAAAAATCCTTTGGGCTTGCATTGTCCATTCTCCATTGCAGAGCCACATGGAGAAGGACCAGGGCAAGGTGGTGCTGTACACCACCAGCATGGGCATCATCAGGGACACGTACGCCAAGTGCGCCAGCGCCAAGCAGATCCTGCGCACCCTGCTGGTCAAGTTCGAGGAGCGGGACGTCTTCATGAGCGTCGAGTTCCAGCAGGAGATGCGCGAGCGGATGCCCGACAAGAGCGTCCGCGTGCCGCAGCTCTTCGTCGAGGGCCAGCACATCGGGGTGAGTACAGCTACTGGTTCCCCCTGCCGGGGGCCAAGACCCACCAGAAGAACTTACCAGCTGAACTAATGGCCTCCTTGATCCTCCGCAGGACGCCGACGCTGTGGAGCGACTGAACGAGAGTGGCGAGCTGCGCCAGATGCTGAAACCGTACAAAGTGAGTTCCCAAAGGGGGTTCCCTCCTGGTGGCATGACCAGTAGTAGTTCAGTGAAGGAATATACTCCTCTTCTTTTCCCTTTCCAGTCGATCGCCACGGCGTTCACCTGCCAGACGTGCGGCGGTTACCGCATGCTGCCGTGCCCCTCGTGCAGCGGGTCCAAGAAGTCGGTGCACCGCAACCACTTCACGGCGGAGTTCGTGGCCCTCAAGTGCATGAACTGCGACGAGGTGGGCCTGGTCAAGTGCCCCAACTGCTGAGGAGGCCCTGCTTCCTGCTTTGCTGTGCGCAAATCTTGGAGTCGCTTTTTGTAAACAGTTGTGATATTTGGGGCAGATGCGGCCGAGACGGACGAGGACGAGGACAAGGGTCGGGATGGAGGATGGAGGATGGCGGATGGGGAGGCGGATGAGCTGCTGGAGCCCAAGTGACACCACACACACGGGACAGGAGACGGGAGACAGCATGTGCATATGTGAATCGAGGAGATATCGAATAAAGCGTAAACCTAGTTTTCTGATTTCAATCTTGTTTGGAACTCCCTTGGAGCCCCTGAGCTCCGATCAGAGTCCACTGAGTTTAAGGTCATGTTCAGATTTCAGTGTCGTTGGCACCCCGTTTCGTCCGTACTAACTTCCAGTTCACCCCAACTCGCTCCCTTACCTTCCTCCCTCCAAATGCAGCGGGACTCCATGGAAACAAATGCAGATCCTGCAGCGAATGCGAATGCGAATGCGGAGGAGCGCTTCTGCTGGATCTGCCTCGCCTCGGAGGAAGAGAACCGCAGGGCCAGCTGGGTGCGGCCGTGCCGCTGCAGCGGCACCACCAAGTGGGTGCACCAGAGCTGCCTGCACCGCTGGATCGACCAGAAGCAGCAGGGCAACCCCCCGCCGCCCGGTGGCCTGCCAGCAGTGCCGCACGGAGTACCTGCTCGTCTACCCGCCGATGAGCCCGCCGGCCGCGGCCCTCGAGTGGCTGGAGCTGGCCGCGCGGCGGAGCTGCCCCTTCCTGGCGGCGGGCGTGCTCGGCTGCTGCCTCTACTGGACGGCGGTCACCTACGGAGCCGTCACCGTGGTGCGGCTGGTGGGCCAGCGGCGCGCCCTCGAGCTCATGGAGAGCGACCTGCTGCTGCTGGTGGGCCTGCCGCTCATCCCGGTGGGCCTGGTCCTCGCGGGCCTCCTCCGCTGGGAGGACGCCGTCCTGCGGCTCCTGCGCGGCGGGCACGAGCTGCTCCGCAAGCTGCCCTTCCTCCGCCGGGCGGAGGAGCCTCCGAGCGGGCACGGCTCGAGCAGCTCCTCGGACAGCCTGCCGCCCATCCAGAACCTGGCCGCCTCCAGCGGGCCGCTGCACATCGAGCGGGTCCTCTGCGGAGCGGTGCTCCTGCCGCCGGCGGCCACCGCGGTGGGCGACCTGCTCTTCGGCTCCCTGGAGGACCCGCTGCGGCGCGCCCTGCTCGGCGCCGTCTGCTTCGTGGGGACGAAGGGCCTGCTCAAGGTCTACCTGCGGCAGAAGCTGTTCCTGCGCCGCAGGAGGCGCCGCATCGCCGACTTCACCGAGGAGAACGTGCGGCTGCACATGGGCGGTCGGGTGCGGGAGGCACCGCCGTTCCCGGGAGAACCCAATCCGCCTAGGGAATGATCTGCATGACTAGTGGCACCCCGTCGAAATCCCCCTGTGGTCAATAAAATTCAAGTGCAAGTATCGCAAGCATAACGAATTTACGTGGCACTTCAGATAGGAAGATGGGAAATCAGGGGGACAGGAGGATTGGGGGATCGGGGGATTGGGGGATTGGAGGACGGGAGCTAGTCGGGCGGGGACAGCTGCTTGGAGGAGAGGAGGCGCGTGTAGATGGGCGGCCGGGGGCAGGTCCGCTCCGCCTCCGGGAAGTACTCGACGTCGACGCAGCAGCGGTAGGTGGCCCAGTGCTTGTTGGGCACGAAGCAGAGGTCGTCCATGAAGCGCTGCGCCTGCGAGTGGAGCCGGTGCAGGAAGAGCCGGAAGGTGCCGAAGGTGAGCTCGCGGTGGCGCGGGCACTTGGCGTCGTGGTGGTGCGGCACCCCGCGGCAGAAGGTCCAGTAGCGCTCCGTCGCCCGCTGCCCCCGGTACTCGGCCAGCATCTTCTGGACGAGGCCGCCCTTCTGCTCCTCCCTCTGCCGGTTGGCCACGACGGCCGCGGTCTGCTTGGTGGCCTGCCAGAGCCAGCGAGCCACCTGGGATGTTGGTGGGTGGGTGGGTGGTTGGTTAGTGGGTTACCAGGGGGATGGATGGGAGGGAAACTTACTTGGGGCATCTGGGCGATCTCGCGGAGCAGCGCGTTCTCGGGGAAGTTGGCCAGGGAGCGGCGCAGCCAGGGCGAGAGGAAACAGAAGCGCACCTGCGACAGTAAGTGGAGCGCGTGCCGACGGCGCTCCGGCCAGGCGAAGTCGAGCCAGTGGAGGCAGGCGAAGAGGACCTCGTCCTCGCTGTTCACGCAGAGCATGTCCTGCCGGAGCAGGCAGGCCACCTCGCTGGCCTCGAACTCGAGGAACTCGAGCGAGGCGACCAGCGGCAGGAAGCACTTGCGCACCCGCGAGAGCATCGCGGCCATGATCTCCGGGCAGCGGTGCTCCCGGGCCTGCAGGTAGGTGTGGACGGCGTTCAGCTCCCAGACGCCGCGGTCCCCGCTGGCCGAGAAGGTGCTCCAGTACTGCTCCTCCAGCCGCTGCACCCCCAGGAACCGGGCCGCCTTGTAGAAGGGTATCATGTCGGGGCCCACCGGGAAGCCGGCCTCGTCCTGCAGCATCCACTCGTAGATCTGGGTGAGCAGCCGCATCGGCACCTGCTGCACCGGCAGCTGCAGGAAGGGCCCCCTGCAGGCGCGGAAGTTGCGGGCGAAGTAGGTGAAGAGGTAGCGGTCCACGTGGAAGAACTTCGACTCCACCTGGATCTCCAGGTCGTCGAGCAGGCAGTTGCGGATCGCCGTGTGGATGATCTCGTAGTTGCCTGGTAGTGATATAGATATGGATAGTGATGCAGATGGTGATACAGGTGGTAATACAGATATTGATATAGATACTGATATAGTTAGTGATAGAGAGGGTGATACAAATAGTAATTCAGATACAGATAGTAGGTAGTAGATACAGATAGTGATACAAATAGTGATACACATAGGGATACAGATGGGTGATACATAAATTCATTAAGATAGTGATGCAGATGGTGACAATCATAGTGATACAGATAGGGATCCAGATATTGATAAAGATATTGATATACTTACTGATGGAGATAGTGATACAGATAGTGATTTAGATACAGATAGTAGGTAGTAGATTCAGATATAGATAGTGATGCAGATAGAAATACAGATGGTGACACAGATAGTGACACAGATGGTGACACAGATGGTGACACAGATAGTGATACAGATGGTGATACAGATATTGATATAGTTAGTGATACAGATAGTGATGCAGATACTCACGCAGCTTGCGGTCGGCACTTCGCAGGGTCGCCTCGGCGAAGGAGGTGTCCTGGCAGGAGAGCCGCGTCCCCCAGACGAGCTCGAAGTCGTGCGCGGTGACCACCGCGTCGGTGAGCATGGGGTCCAGGGCGGGGGCGGCCACCTGGGGGATCTGCGGCTTCTCCTCCACGATCTCGATGAGGGCGGCCGGCAGCTGGTCGCTCCGGGAGCTCTTCACCTTCCGCGGGGGCAGCAGCTCCTCGATGCTGAAGGTGGTGGCCATGCTGCGCAGGCGGCGCTGCCGCGAGATGGTCAGCACGTCGGCGAACTCGGGGTCCATCTCGCTGGGAACCAGGACCGGCGGCGGGGGACACGACGACTGGCTGCCCCCGGCAGTCGGCAGCTGCAGCTTGGAGCCGTTGGAGAGCGGCGAGGAGAGCTGCGGGTCGGCCACCTCCACCAGGGGAGCGGCCACCGCAGGCGGCACGATCTGCTCGTTGATGTAGGCCTTCCAGAACCAGTTGGGCGTCAGCAGCTGGCCCTCCGCCTGGAGCGGACTGGGCTTCTCCTTGAGCTCCTTGACCTTCGCCGCGTCACCGTGCTTGCTCCGTCCGCCGGAGGCCTTCTTCTTCGGCTTGAGCAGGATCATCCTGAGTGGGAGTGCGAGTGCGAGTGCTAGTTGGCTGACCACTGTTGATGTGAACGGAGGGCGAGAGCGGAAGTTGCGAAGTTTGAGGGGTTATCCACAGCCAACTTCGTCGCCATTCGAATCTCTGCCAGGCCATGCCATGCCACGTTCTCTTGGGCTCTCAAGTTCCCGGGTGGATCCCTGCGTCCGGGGGTGCGCACTGCGCAGCTGGCAGTGGAAGGACAGAGTCGCCTCCTTGCCGCCATTCGTGGATGGTCCTGCAAGGGAAGCAGAACTCGTTCCCCGGGCGGACAGGCAGCGACTTGGCTGGCCAGTAGGCGTTGACTTTAACTTTTGGGGCCCGGACTCGCCGGAGCTCCGAGTGGGGCATTATCACACAGCTCGTTCAACGTTTCGGTCGACACATTCTCGAGTCAAGCCAAGGCACAATTCCAAAACCAGAACAAATTCAAATCGTACACTACTCTTTTGTGTTCCCTTTCGATTAAATCCGGTCAAAAAGCGAGCTGCTTCGCGAACGAGCGTCGTCTGGTAGAGTCATCTTCCTTCTGCTCCTCCGCCTCCACCGCCTCCGCCTCCACCTCGTCAAGAGTAAGTCGGTAGTTCACCTTTCCGAATTCAGAAGCACACACTGACAGCCCAGAGCTACAGAGACCACAAACTAGGCCGAAAGCAGCGCCAGGATGTCGGACAACTCGGTCGTGAGCAGCGTGCTCAACGTGGCGCTCTGCGGGGCCACCGGCTTCGGCTTCTACAAGATCGGGCCCAGCGAGCACCCGTACGCCTTCGCCGCCTGCGTGTTCGGCTTCTGCCACGGACTGTGTGGCCTGGTGAGCGGACTGACCGGCGATGACAACGCCAAGAAGGCCACCGAGACGACCACGGCGATCATGGAGATCGTCCCGCTGGCGCTGGTCAACGTGGACCTCTACCTGGGCGCGGAGAGCAACAACATCGCTTTGGGCCACGGACTGTTCATCGTGCCGCTGGCCGTCAGCATGATCATCAGCCTGGTGAAGGGCGAGAGCAGCGAGGAGGGCGAGGGCAGCCCCCTCGAGACCCTCAAGACCCTGACCGTCCTGGGCAACATCACCTCGCTGCTCTACCTCTCGATCAACGAGAGCAGCTGGCCCCTGGCCGGCATGGCCTTCCTCGCCTTCACGGCCAAGTTCGGGGCCCAGTTCTCCGAGGAGCAGATCAGCGAGGGCAGCGGCGAGCCGGTGACCTACCTCAGTTGGTCGGGCTTCTACTGCCTCACCGCCCTGACCGCCTCGGGCGAGAAGTGACCTCCTCCTCCTCCTCCCCATTCCCCTTTCCCCTTCCCAACTTCCCCCATTCCCTAGTTCCGATTTCCCTTTTCCCGCCGCCACCTCCCGGACCCGGACCCGGACACCTCATTCGCCTTGGACGAGCAGCGTGATGAACAAATTATTGCGGGCTTCCTGCGGCGGCTTGTTACTTTTACAATATTCTGGCTTGCAACTTTGAAATAAATATTTGGAGTGGGAATTTATGGGATGTTTTACTTTTATACATACATACATTACATATTTAGACACCAGGCGAATTTACTCAGATTTGCCAGTTGCGACCTTCTATAAATTATGTTTGCATGGAAAACAACGAGTTCGAAGAGTTTTTTGTCCATGTGGACAAAAATTTGTTGAGATTTTTAAAGCCAAATACCAGGCGAACAGAATTGCCTAGAAGCTGGCTAAAAAATCTAACGATTCGTATCCGAGTTTCAAATCCACAATTATCAGTGATGCTCAGCCCGTGTGTAGTCAGGTCTCGAACCACTACTGTGGGCAGTGATCTTGAATAGCATTGGTTTTCCAGCTTTTTCATATTTCGGTGAATTTATTTTTTATGTTTCTAGTCCTAAAAAATAGTTGCAGCTTTTTAAAATTATGCAATTTATTTGTATATTTTTTTATCTAACAACATAACATGAGCCTCAAAATCCATTTGCGGCATTTAAAAACCAATTTTCTGCACTCCCCTACTTGTCCTTTCTATGATTCTTAATCAGTGACTTGGTGACGGCTGTTGTCCGATTCAGAATATCTTTGAGTTCGTCCAGCTCGCTTACAGTACCGGGATCTTCACTTTCTGGCGACGAGTCATGCAGCTTGGGTCTTGGAAGGGTTTCGGAAGGAGAATCAAACATCACATGAACTAAATCTGGTTTCGGACGAATAATATCTTGAAGATTTTCCAATGGCAAGGAGCCGGATTCCTGGACGGTTTCCGTTTTAATTTGAGCAGGGTGCAGGGTGGCATTTGCTTTCGTTAGTTTTACCGAATTGTTTTCGATTTCTCTCGCCGATATTGCGGGCTCCTCAATATCGTTCGAAGTATATTCCTCAACCTTTGGCTTGATCTCCGTAAAATAGTCATCCACGATGGACTCCTGGGAGCTCTGGGAATTTTTGTACTCGACTTGCGGTGCGGAACGGCGCTGCATCACCTTGCGCTCCAAATGATGGGTATTGCTTTCCAGCGCCTGGCGCTTTCTAAAAATGAATACAAGTTTATATATTTACGTACATGTATATAAAAGTATTCGTATAGACAATTAATCAAACCTATTGCGGGGAGTCAGCTTTGGGCCTGATTTATCCGAAACCTTGGAGCCAGTTGGCGGTTTCTGGTCTTTCTCATCCTTAATTACGGCGGAGGAGGGCAGAGTTGAACTGATCGAGGAGACTTCAGCAGCGAGAACGTCCTTAACATTCTGATAGGCGGTGGCATCCTCCAGCAAGTGGAGGTGCTGTTCCTGGAAAGCCTCTGCATCAAATGGCTTTGTCACCGCAGTCACTAGGAAGCATTGCATCTTTCAGCTGTTAGGTTTCCTAGTTGTATTATGATTGGAAGCCCACAACTTACCCCTTCGCAGCTTGCATCCTTCGGTGCGGTACTGCTTCAGCTCCCTGTCCTTGGCCTTTAGAAGCTCTACCAGGACGGACACTTGATCTCGTAGTCCTCCAGCAGTAGCCATCAGGTTCACGCAAATTTGCCGGTAAAACTGTCGAAATGCGAAGGGCATCTCATTGAGATTTAGACTTGATTGAAATTGACCAACTTCAAACCTGCGCACTGTCTAGGTGGCTCAGCTGCCAGTTCCACCGCAAAGGAACCGCAGTATTTGTCATGGGGTACTTCAAGACAAGGATCAACTGGGTTTCACCTTCGGAAAGGCGTTTTTCCAGTTCGGCGTGCGAAGGATCCGCTTTGAGCAGCGCTGGACGGACTGCATCCTCTGGAAACTTTACGCGAGAGTTGAGCATCTGAACAGCAAATGCTAGTTAGTTATTACTAGTAAAACTCAATAGAGAAGGCTCACCTTCAGACGTAGCTGAAATGTATTTCTTTCGACTGCCTCTGAGAAACTCGTGTTCTTGGCCAGGTTGTGGAGGTAAAAAGTGAGAACTTTGTCATCGCCTTCACGGCAAGCAAATAAATGCTGCTCTCCATTTAAGTCCACTGTTTTCAGCAACATTTTGAGACAGAAACATAAAAGTGTCCAGCACCAAACGTCAAACGGATATATTAGCCACTACTGTCAAATGACTATGTAGTTGTTGGCCAAGTTTCAAAATGAAACCAGGAAAACGAAAACGAAAACAAAAACAAAAACACAACAAACACCAAACATTGAGAAGTTCAAGTGTTACCTGGTGGTAAAATGGGTTTTCCCTCGTCGAATCGATCTCCTCCAAATAACAATGGCACTAAAAAATCCCCAACAAATTTTATTTGGGAGCCATGCCATTTCATTAAACGAGGTTGGAGCCCCGGCTTAAGCTTTTTATACACTTTCCAAAAATATTCCGAACTCAGCCATTAAGATGCACTCTATCAATTTTCCGGTTTAAGCATATGTTTAATAGGTGTTATTTTACGTCGTTTTGAACATATCTTTTATGTGTAATACATATTGTTTGGGATCGTTTTCGGTATCTTATCAAAAAATTCAATTCACTTTTGTTTTTTACTATTATCTAGGTTTAAAGTATTGTTTATGCTTTGAATTTCGCTACCAAGACAAATCTGTGTGTATTTATAATAAATATTTCAATTAACTAATGCGCTTTAAAATTATATGTATAGACATGTATTTATATGTATATTATGCAATAGGACCCTTAAGTTCTACGTAAAGATCAGTTGGGGCTGCGGCCCAAAGGCGGCACAACCAGTAATGTGGGAACTAAATCAGGAATTCAGGAGTCCTCGAATTCTGGATTTCAGAAATTTATAAGTTCATTAATTCAGGAATTCAGGAAAGGTTCGGTCTCGGGATCGTAATCAATCTTCGGGATCGAAAACAAGCCCCTCCTCGGTTCCGCTCGCTGTCTTTTATCCTTGCGATCCTAGATCAACCTGGGGCGTCGTTTCGGAATATTCAGTTGTTTCTTGGTGGTGGTGGCGCAGGCGGTCCTGAGCGGTGCTCAGATCTGCGGACGCGTCCAGAGCTCGCTCAGATCCTTCTTCAGCTTGCCCAGCTCTGCAAAAAGGGATTGGGTTGGACTTAATCCCCCGGTGAGTTTTCTTCCCCGCGCCCAGGATGCACCCGACTTACCCAGCTGGGCCGAGAGGACTCCTCCGTTGCGGAATCCCAGGTCGAAGCGCGGCTGCACTCCCAACTGGCTCGCTGAGGCGGATCCGGAGTTCCGAAACGCAGTGCCACTGGATTACGGAATTACGGCATTACGGGGTTACGTGATTACGAGATAACGAGAATACGATATTACGATATTGCAATAATACGATATTATTGGTATGGATATGGAAGGGGGGTTCTGGAGACCCACCTGTAGGGATGCTTCAGGCAGCCGTACACCTCGCGGTAGCGTCCGTAAAGAGTTCCGTAGGAGACGCCCAGGACTCGGGCGGCCTTCTTCATCTCGAGTCTCTTGTTCTTGATGGCGTCCAACACCTGCGAAGGAATACAATATACAAATGTAATATAATATATAATATAATAATATAATATAATATTTAATATAATATATAATATAATATAATATATATATAGGAGATCTATAAGTGGCAGTAGTGTAACCACTTACCCGCTTGGTGAAGGGTTCCTCCCAGAACTGCGGACGCCGCCCCTTGGCCAGGTAGTCGTCCATCTTGATCACGTCCTGCCACTGGGAGAGCTCCTCGTTCGTCAGCCGCAGCTCGGCGGCATCGTAGTCCTCCAGCTTGATGTCGGGATAGTCGGCGGAGCTGCCTGCTGCCTCCTGGCTTCCGCTTCCGTTACCGCTTCCGCCTCCGTTTCCGCTTCCATTTCCGCTTCCGGATGAGACTGCTGAGGCACTCGCCACCGCGGCGGCAGCGGCTGCAACGGCGACGGCAGCGGTGGCAGCGGCACTTGCCACGGCACTCGGAGCAAACTCGTGGGCCATCAGGATGCCGTGCTCGTTAATCAAGTACGACGACCCAGAACCAGATGCGGATGCGGATGCGGATGCGGATGCGGATGAGGATGCGGATGCAGATGCAGATGTGGACGCGCCCCTTCCCTCGGCAGCCACGCCCCCCTCGAACTTGCAGGCGAAGCTGTCCGGGATGAGGATGGTGGGGCGGGGCGACTCCGCTCCGCTCTCCGCCAGCTGCTCGCCCTCCTCCTCCTCCGCCGGCGGCTGCTGCTCCTCCTTGGGGCTCCCCAGCTCCGCCTCCTCCTCCGCGGACTTCTCGTACAGCCTGGAATGGCCGGAGTGGCTGGAGTGGCGCAACTTGCCGTGCCGCTCGCGCCGATCGCCGTTCTTCTCCAGCTTCTTGGAGGCGCCGCTGCCGCTGGTGGAGATCAGCTTCGGCTGGGACTCGTCGCCCACTTCCGGCTCCTGTTTGCTGGACGCCTTGCCGGCTGGAGCGGGACTGCCAGCTGGCTCTGGGTGCGGGGTGGACCACTCCTGGCCAGACACCGAGTCCTGGTCCCCGAACTCCGGCTGGTGGAGCAGTTGCTGCTGCTGCTGGTGCTGCTGCTGCTGCAGGTGGCGGAGGCGCTGGCGCTGTTTGGGGGGGCAGGCGGCGGGCGAGGGCAGCGGCGCCTCCTCCGGGAAGTGGCGCCCCGTCTCCATGAAGCCGCGCTGGGCGGGCTCCAGGTGGGCAGCGTACTGGGCGAGCTTGCGCCTGATAGAGAAGCGGGATAAACGAGAGTTCGGCTTCAGAAACTGGTGACAAGCAAGTCCTAACCACTAGGGACTCAAATGGGAGGAAGTGGTGTCATGGCACTGATGTGCCCACCCCCAGTTAAAAGGACAAGGAAGCTACTGGTTTCTGGTTGGGAACCTACACATTGAACACGTCGTAGGCGTCGTCGAGGGGCGGGCGACCCCGCTTGCGTTTGGGGCCCAGGAAGTGCTCCACGGGGGCGGCGCCCTCGAGGGCTCCAGTTCCCGCGCAGCTCCCGGAGGCTCCTGGCAACGGCGTCCTCCCAGGAAGGCGCCCCAGCACCCCCTCCACTCCGCTGGGGGATCCTCCCCGGGCATCCCTGTCCAGGATCGCGGAGCCGTGCAGGTGGAGCGGCGGACCCGCCGGCGATTGCTGCTGCTGCTGCTGCTGCTGCTGCTGCTGCTGGTGATGCTGCTGGTGCTGGAGGATGAGGTCCTGGGCGTAGCTCTCGGCCAAACTGCGCGGCGGCGAGCGGAACTCGGAGGAGGCCATTTGGGGGGCGGCGCCTCCTCGTCGTCGCGCCAGGTCACCTCGGCCAGGCCCTTGATCTTGAGGTCGTCCGCGGTCTTCAGCAGCGAGGGAAGGCTGGCCTGCGAAGGCGGAGAAGGTTACAGGATCTCCCTATTATGTTAGTTGGAAACGGAAGAGTGTTCCCCCCCCCCTTTCTTTTCAATGAGTCATTGATTACTGGTCACTGGTCACTAATTACTGATCACTGATTACTGATCACTGATTACTGATCACTGATTACTGATTACTGATCACTGATTACTGATCACTGATTACTGATTACTGATTACTGATCACTGATCACTAATTACTGATTACTGATCACTGATTACGGATTACTGATTACTCAATACTGAATACTGAACACTAATAACTGATTAGGGTTACTGATTGACATCCCCCGAGCTCCCACTTACGTGCTCCACGTTGATCTCGCCCTTGTACATGAACTCGATGAGGCACTTGACCTCCGCGAAGGTGACGTCCTTCATGATGATGATCGGGTCGCGCTCGCTGGCGTAGTTGGAGAGCACCGCGTCGAAGAAGGTGCTGCAGGCGCAGAGGACCACGCGGTGGGCGCGGATGAGCTGGCCCTCGCAGGCCAGGGTCACGTCGCAGAAGCAGCCGCGGTCCAGGAGCTGCGAGAACATGGTCTGCAGGTTGCTGTGGTGGTACTTCCACCGCAGGCAGTACTGCTGCGGCAGCATGGTGGCCCCGCCTGCTCCTCCGCCTCCGTCTTCGCCTTCGCCTTCGCTGTCCTGGTGGCGCCTCCTCGTTCGCTGCTTCCCGTTGGTCTAGATCTAGAAAGGAGCAACTACGGCTGGTCAGTGGCTCTCTTATGCAGAGGGTATTATAATTTCAGTCAGAAGACACCCAATTGAAATTAAATATAGTTGCCAAAGGAAAGATCGAAAAATCTATATAAAATGTCACAAGCATCGAGAGCTATTCCAATCCAAAATCTAAAATCATTAAGAAAAGTAATGGTACTTTAAGTGCTGGTTTTGGGACATTATCCGAAAGAAACATTATCTGAAAAAGCCCAGTTTTTATCTATATACTCTATATTCAAAAAATCGTCATCATATATAGTTATATGTTGCAGTTCCGAATGTTTCTTGAGTTGGGTGGGATAATTTTAGCACCGTTGAGAACACTTATCTCGTTTCTGATTAACAAAAGGTTTTTTAAGGACTTGATTGTATGCGAACAACCTCTTGTTGACCTTTTTACGCTGATTTCGAATTAAATTCATGGCAACTTTTTCAGGCAAATAATCGAAATTCCAGCTCTATTTAAACGTCTCTGGATCGGAAAAACCAGAGTCCTGCCAGCTTTATGGCCATGTAGCTATTCCCTGCATCAAAGAGGCGCCGATGACTTCGGGGTTGGGTAAAAAATTGGATGGACGTTCGCTAGTTTTTCTGCCAGAACGCAGCACCATAAAAACGTTATTCCCCGTGTCGATTTTATTATTTTTTGTAATACACATAAAACATTTTCATAATTTGTTGCTTTCTTTTATTTGCAGACTTTTATACTACGCAAATATTGTGCAAAAGGTACAACTTTTTTGTTTGTCCCCCTATATACTTCTATATATATTCGCATTTATGTGTGGCTTGCTTTAATACATATGTATACATGCATCGGTAAATATTGCACTTGGTGTACATGCATATTTACTTGTACAATATAAGTTGACGCTTAATAAAAACAACATTTCCCCCACCGCCCAGCTTCTGTGAAAATTTACTTGAACGCCAAGAGCAGGAGAACAAAAAGAGCAACTATCAACTCTCTGTCGATTGTCGATTTACAAAGACTTGTCGAAATTTTCAAATTATCAAATCATATTAGTATGATTATAACAGTGGCGGATCCACGGGGGGGGAAATTAGGGAAATTTCCCCCCTTGGAACCACAGAACCTGAAAATTTTACTTGTTTGCTATGGTTGACTTTTCAAATATTACCGCTTTGTTTACCTAAAAATTGGGATGGATAATTTTTGTTTTATAATTTGTACTGTATTTCTCTCGCAATAATAAGTTTGAACCCCAAATCGAAGAATAAGTTCAATTTCCCCCTCCAAGAATCGTCTCTGGATCCGCCACTGATTATAAGTACATTTTCGTATGTATAGTTAATTATACATACATATGTATGTACATATGTGTAATGATTATTTGTTTTTACATATTTTACTCGTATTTCTTATATACATCCGCTTGAGTTTTACTTAAAGTAAAAAATCTTATAAGATTGAAGTAAAGTTTTTTTGGCCATGTTGGCACCACCAGAATTTTTCGGTTGGACTTATTAGATCCTTTTTTATTATCCCCACCCAATGCAAGGATGTTCCTTAAAAAGTAGTGAAGAAAAACGCAATGTCCGGCACTCAAGGACTGGAATTTGAGTTCGGTTTCTGTTTTAGTTCCCAGCTCGCCCTCCCAGATACGAGCACATAGACAAGAGTTAAAAAAAGGGTTTTTGATCCCAATCTCCTTCATCCCCTCACACCAGCACACAGTCACAGTCACACTCACACAAGCACACACACACACATAAACACCCACACGCTCGAAGCCCTACAAATTTAAGTTCCTTAAAATAAAAAACGCTACAGCACACAGACACGCAAAAATGGGGAGTGCATGGGTGGGCGGTTGGAGTGCTGAGTGCTGAGTGCTGAGTGGGGGGCGGGGGGGTGGTGACTGGTGAGTGGGGAGTGGGAAGGGGGTTGGCATGAAAAATACATGTTTGATTGTAGTATATTTTTCCCGCCAAGCAGTTCAAACACACAAGACCCCCTTTTCTTTTGGGTTTTCTCATGGAAAATATATTTTTCAGTTTTTATCACATTTTTCTTCTTCTTGGATTTCGTTTTTTCTCCACTGCTTTCAAGTCAAGGCAGAGGGATGGAGGGAGGGGGGTAAGGAGGGGGACGCAAAAAGGTTGCGAGCGGAAAAATAAAAATAAAAAAAGACATTACAACGACTGCGACGTTAGAGAGAAGAAAAAAAATAAATAAAAACACAAAAAGCTGGCAGAACGAAGGGAAAATAAAGAAAAGCAGGGTACAAAAAATGAAAAAAAAAAACATAACGACCGTTTCTCGTTTTATTTGTTTTTTTTTTTCTTCTTTTTGCAGTTTTTACCCCCGCCCCTGGTCTTTATTATTATTTTCAGTTTCTGTCTCTCCCCATTTACTTTTCTTTCTTATTTCGCCCCATGTTTCTCTGCTACTTTTTAAGCTGTAATTTTTTACTTTACGTTTTTTATGTTTTCGGCGTTCCTTGCTCTTTTTTGTATTTTATCCTTTTTTTAATATCGATTTTCATGTCAACTTAAATGAAAGGTACACAGTTTTCCATAAAAAAAGCAGAATGTAAAAAAAGGAGAGTGTGGAATTTATGTGTGGACCTGACATCCATGTGTGTGTGTGTGTGTGTGTGTGTGTGTTGGTAATGCTTTTCCGCTTTACCTTGCTGTCTCTTTTTAATATTAATTTTTTTACACACTCACTCATGGCTATAGATTTTCCCCATTTCCTTTGTGAAAATGCTTGGCAGGGACACAACTCTAAGATACACGGAGAAATACATACGTGTGTATGTGTGTGTATGTAGTTCGTTTAGCATTTTCCTGCTATTTTCCGGACGGTGTATGATTTATGGATGGATGTGGTAAATGCTATCATTGTTAATGGAGAACTTAATCGTTTCATTTGCATAGCTGAGCAATGCAAACACTTTTGAATTAGCGCATATTTTTGGCAGCCGAAACCGATCACAAAGGATATTATACGTTTACAACAAAATACATTTTCAATTCGGCTCTGAAAATCACAGACAAGATCGAAAGGCCAATGCAATCGACTAACTATTCGGAAACGCTGATATTGCGATTTAAAATAAAGTAAATAAGGGTATATTGATTTGCTATGGAGCAGCAGAAGCCCGGATATATGTAATGTCCCTTCACCGATTGCCCCTGCGGTAAGTAGAGCCAGCGACCAAAATGGATAATCCCTTGGACATAAGCCGCTATCGAAATTAACTCAAACGACGGCACAAACGAAATTGGTTTTACTTCACTGGGCTGAAAAAATAAAAGGCAACCGTAACCGCATTATCAATTGCATTAAGGCACCGACAGGTGCAGGGCATCGAGTACATAGCATTGCAATCCGTACATAAAGGTGGCTATTTATGAAAACGTTCTATACATTATACATACATCCCGTTCCCACCGACAACAATTTTCTTTCTTTCGTTATTTTTTAGCTTATTCTCCGCCATTTTCTACCCTTGCATAATGCGAGTATGCTACTCTTCCACTCAGAAGTAACTGCAAATCAGTTCGATTTATACATACTTCAAGAAGTAAAAAGTCGAGACGAGCAGGACTCTACGTATGTAAAGAATCAATTTCGAGTTATGCTTTCGAATTGCAAACTACGAAATCACGAATATTCCTTGCTGAAGTGAGGTTTCAAGTTTGAAGGCTTCAGATCGAACTGCAGGGTATGCGGACTTCGGCTTGCCGCAGCTCACTTCCTCCTTGTTTTTGCTGAGGTCACTTTTCTGCTTCGTATAATTTTTTAACATTGTTGACGCCGCTGCTCCTGATTTTTTGCGTCGAGTTCTGGCTCCTTGTTTTTCACATTTTAATCAGTTTTTTTAACGTAAAGCAAAAAATGTATATAAATTTATGCTCTGGCAAGGGAAGCTCGGAGGTTCGGAGGAGGGTTAAACCTGTTTGCGAATGGAACTTGACGAAAAATACGTAGAGTGCTGCAATTAATTTTCTTTTGGTTATACATACGTCCCATTACTTAAAAAATGGCAAGTAAACGAAAAATATTTGAGGAATATAGAAAAAGTTGGTGCCTCTGCAACCATCCAGAAATGAAAAGTCGTCCATATGCACAAATGATGCGTAAGAAAAGACAAAACCTCCAAATCAAGGCGAGTCTTCAGTGTCGAGCATACCCTTGCACCTGTTTACTTTACAGGGTGTGTAGAATCCAAATAAACGAGACCGAAAGGAGACCAAGTAAAACGAATAAGCAGCTATCTGCTCCCGCTTCAAGTTAGAAGAAAAAGCTCAAAAAACCAAACATCAACAAAAAATGAATTAATAAAAAATGTGCAAAGAATTTGTATTCAGAAGCAATTCAAAGGAAAACCCAATGCGTTCTTTTGATTCTTGCTTTCTTGGCAAATTGGTAGATGTATCTTTTTCGGGACTGCTTATGTATTAACAGAAACATATATACATAATTGTGCTTCCAGATTTCTATTAATTTTTGCTGTGGCAATTCAAACAAACACACTTGAACCCTGATCTCCCATAGTTTTTTCCAAGTTCTTTTTTATTATTTTCTATTTTTTCAAAAAAGGTATTGAAAAAGGAGTAATATGCTTCAACGAAAGTTTTAAATAACTATCAACAACAAGCGTAGAGTGTTTATATTAAACATTAGACCCATAGTTAAACAAAGTTGGTAATGGGAAACCAACAATTGTTTGTGGAATAAAATTGCGTTCATATTTCGCAGTTGCTGTAAGTTTTGTCTTCAAACAAACGCCGAAATACACATCAGATTTCTAAGGAACAACAGACGGAAACGACTAATGTATTAGTTCGCCAAAATAATTAGTATAGAGAAAAATATAAACTTCAATACGTATTTAAAATATTCTTAGCTTAAAGCCCTTGTAGGGGAATGCGATAAACTAGCGCTGATCAAAATACGATATTACAAAAAGATATAGATACAACCCCGGACAATA